ATGTTGTCGGACCTCATGAAACTAAACTAACAGTCTTCCAAATAACCCGGGAGTCCAATGCCAGGGACCTGTTAAATTTGCAGCCGGGCATGTAAAAATTGCCAAATTACATGTCTGAAGAGGGCATATGTGAATCTTCTTTCATTGTACGATCTTTACTTGCCATTTACTCTGTCCTACCCCCATTATTCGCTTAAACGTTGCTATATGTAATGTCGATGGATTGCCTGTCTACATTCTCGATACAACCTGTCAAATGATTGTCAATCTAATCATTGAAGTGTTTAGTTTAACCTATTTGTTTTCTCGAAGTTGCTTGCTAAATTACGAGATGTTCATCAATGCCACATACTGTGGCACTACAGTCATGATCCCATTTCTGAAATTCAGTTCAGCTAAACCGGCCAACAAATGACCAGCATGCAACTCAAAAGTTATTTATGAACAAAAACGCTTTAGAAAATGGCAATCACAGGCCATGGTTGGTTTACGACGCTGAAAAAATTAATATAAAACCTTTATACCTAATGGGTTTTTTTTGTTGCACAATACTGGTAAATGTAAGAATTTTGAGTAGGACATGTACAAATTTGAATGGGCTGGGTAAAAATGATAGGTCTACATGCCCGAAGGGCATGTGCTGAAAAAGAATTGTTGTGAAGACTGAACTAAAGCGACAGTGCCGGGTGATCATATAAAGTCCCCTTTATTACATAATAATTTGGCAAATTATCAACACATCAAGCTAAAATTTCCAACATATCTTATAATCTTAACGGTGAGAATTTTTATTTTTTAAGTTGAAACCTCGTGACCTGTGAAAGAAATGAAATTTGTATCCCATCTAAAGTCTTAAAATGTATCAAGGTAATTTTCGATACAAATTTGCGGTTGGGGTTATAAATGAAGGATAAAACCAGAGACCTCGGAATGGAATACTCGGAAGTCTCTTGTTTTATTCTACCCCCAACTGGAAGTTATATCCCATCTAAAGTCTTAAAATGTATCGAGGTAATTTTTGTGGAATAAATGAGTACTTTACAATAAAGAGACTCAACCAGAGATGTCTGAAACAATTTATTTGACAAGAAAAAAGTCTCTTGAAGCGAACGATGTCATTTTAAAGTAGGTTAATGATTGATAATGATACATGAACAAAATACGAGCTTGAAGCGGGGGTGCCTGAAATTGAGTTAGATACCTTGTGGTAAAAATAAGTAGGGGTGCACCGTATATGAAACAAGTGCCTGTGATTGATAGTCTGAAATTTCTCTTCACCTAAATATTAAAAGCTTGCAGTGATCGCTATAAATCTATACAACAGTCAAGTTACATATGGTAAACTAACATAAAAACAAGATTACAACAGTCATGATTACAGAAGGTATATTTTGAAGACTCTAGGTCAGTAGGTGAATGTAAACAGGTAAACACACGTGGGACAGTCACCGCAAATATGAACCACAAAACGACTTATAACATTAAAATGTAAATATTCATCTGCACACAGATTTTTGCATAATAATAATAATTTTTAAAAGTGTAAATTAAAATATAAAATAAACAAACCTCAAACCAAGGCTTGTTTCCCTACAATCTTATTCTGGTTCTCTGTGGTTCACTGAAAATGCAGCGAACCAGGCTGCGTTATTAACTCGTACACAGATTTGTTGATACGAATAAACCTATAAACATATATACGAAACAAGTATTAGCTTTCCTAAAAAGCTTGTCTGACTTGGGCAAATTTATTTTTACCCGAAGAATCAAGAAAAGTTAAATTCAGTGTAATCAACATGACTCTGAGTCATGAAATGAATTAGCACTAAGAAACAAGAAAAGTTCAAATCAGAAACTTGGACATGAGTTTATTCTATCAGAGGCGCGATTCTATATACACTAATATTACTTTTAAATTCTTTTTTTCATGGACGTAGGAACCGGGGGGGGGGGGGTCTGGGACCGTGAGCTCAATAATTTTCGGGGATTTATACATAGCTACTTTATGCTTGTGTTCCCTAAATCATGTAAATATTAACTTCAGATATCTTAATTTTTTTTAATGCCCGATAAGGAATTTTTCCTTGATTGTGTCCACCCGAAACTGAAATTTTCTGAAATTTATTTTTTTCAACGGGTAAAAAAAAAAAAAAAAAAAAAAAAAAAAAAAAAAAAAAAAGAAAGAAAGAAAGAAAGATATAACCAGTGCTTTTGACAGAAAAAGTTACAACACATAAAAATCTAAACATCACTTGGTGAACAATTTTGATAATTAAGAAATGTCTTATTAAAAACAAATGAGCTAATATCTTTGCAATTAATTTAAAACAAAAGAATATATTCAACATCTATCCTTCACTTTGATATTTTTTAAAACTATGAATAAATCAAACGTCTGCTAGTTATGAATATGTGTAGATTTATAAAAATTCTAAAGGTAGAGGGACATAGTGTATACATTGAAAATAAACATCCAATAGTTTATCTGATAGTGTTGACCTGACCAACTTCATTCCTTCTATTTTGCTGGACATGAATGATGCAATTTTCGAGAATGGTCAGATGTTATGTAACCTGTAATGTGTAATGTGATAATAATGACATCAGATCCAATGCCCTGGCTTGTTTGGGTGTTTAGCACGTTTGCTCTCCAATTGATAGTTAAGATAATATGAAGTTTCCAAGATCAAGTTATCACAAGAATTCTATTGAACGACTTGACCAACTAGCCTTGGCTAAATCTAATACTGTCTGACGCCGTGACGTCAGACAATAAAATATTATCATAAAAAATGAAGAATTTCAAATTGCTTGAAAAATTATCTTTATGTAGTTTATAATAAATGGTTGTAATTGTTTATTAATTTCTTTCTATCCATTAAAATTTGATACGTATATCAGCTTAATATGTATCCGTCTGAACAATTATTGTTATTACACTCCCTGTCACATCTTCATAGTTAAGCCTGTAAGCATGGTAAGTAGGAATCAATTTCAGTTGAAGGGGACCAAAACCAAACATTTTTCAGTTTCATTTGGTGGGGAGGGGGGGGGATATAAACCTCAAATGATTATTTTATCTCTGTCACTGAACTGCTGAAAATAATGAAGGGAACTAGGCTGCGACAATGATTTGTTGACAGAATTAAAATACGAAATAAATTATCATAAATAAAATAATTTCATGAAAAAATAAAGAATTTCCAATTGCTTAAAAAAAAGAAGCTTTTCATGAATGTGATTTACAATAAATGGTTGTACTTTTATATTTTCTATATATCCATTAAAATTTCACAGTATCAGTATTTCACTATTTGTAAACATTAACAATAATATTAAATAAATGTTACACTCACTGTGGCTTTGACTGAGTTACTGTCACATCTTCATAATTAAACGAGAATATTCCCTTCCGTAAATATTGCTATATATATCTGAACTGTTACCAATTCATCTTTCTTTGGTGAAAGAAAACCTCAGGGATGGAGAATAGGCCCGTACGTAATTTAGTTGCGGGGGGGGGGGGGGTGAGCACAACCAAACAACATTTTTCAGTTTCAGGTTGGGGGAGGCTACAAACCAAAAAAATTTTTAATAAGCAAAAGAAAAATACATTATCAGAGGTTATTATTGAGGGGGCCCAAAAGCAAAAGAGAAATAGATCATCAGAGGTTATTATTGAGGGGGGCCAAGCATAAAGGAGCAATGTTTTCTATAGTATACCTAAATTTCAGCAAAATTACAGGGGGCCTGCCCCCCCCCCCCCGTTCCTTCAGCCATGTATTGTATCAAATCTGCTTCACCCTGATTCAGATTTTTTTTACAGCATATATATTCTATTAGCAGAGGACCACAATATATTAATAAACAATTATTAAATTACAGCTATTTTTTTCTTACAGGGTCTGTTTCATTTATACTATATCATGATGAACATGTCCTGCATGATGTTTACAGAAAGTTTAATTTAAATTTTTAAGCTCGAAATAGCTGCGTCAACTTGCGAGACTATTTTTTCAACCTTCGGCCTAATCTTTAAATATTTAATTTGTTTGTGGACTTGCATAAAAGAATTAAAAAAATATAGGGGCCTATCATTTAACTTTATTTCGAATTTCCTTCAGGATTTTATATACCGAACTATAGTCTAACGATTATTTAAAATCATACTTTTTCTCTTGAAAGCTAAATTACTAGGCAAAAAAAAAAAAAAAACACAACAAAAAAACCAAACGAATGTTTGTCTTGTGTATTCTTAATTACAACTTATTACTGTATCATTTTAGTTACTTACCCAAATTTCTCAACATCCATGGTGTTCAGAGGTCATTTTCTGAAAACTGAAGGGGCTTTCCGATGGCATTCGGAACAAATGACGGAAAGCACTTGCTAAGAATTCAAAACATGGTTCATAAATTTACAATATTTTTCCTTTTTAGGTTTTTAACATAAAACATGGAAAACTAAGTTAAAGAAACACTCATTTGAACAAATCAAAAGCGGAAAAAATATATATGCTAGATTTTTTGTTTAATTGCATGTTTTTCATGGTCTCCAAAATGCAGAAAAATTATCCTTTGAAATTATACGTAGGTTATAAATTCTTTTCTTTTTTAGGGAAGATGATAGAAATTAGACAACTTTTGAATGTTAAATAACAGAGTTAAAGATTAATAATATTTAATGGCAGACTGTTTATTTATCTATAAAAAGACATTTGCAATACTGATGAGGTCAAAATAATAGGGAGACCGAAAAAGGTCGCCTTAATCCAGTGGTCTCCCTAAGCCAGAAAATATATCCTCCTTGGTCTCCTAAAGCCATATGTCATATATATATATATATATATATATATATATATATATATATATATATATATATATATATATATATATATATATATATATATATATATATATATAAACGTATATAAGATGAAGTTACATTGATATCGCTATAATAATATGAAAATTGTCATCTATCAAAATTGTCTGTTTCAGCTCTAGAGGAGGAAAAGGGTAATGTATACAATTTATGCATAAGGATTTTTTTTTTTAAACAGAGGGTCTTTGAAGATTAGAAGCACGATTGTTAACTCGTAAGATCCCCGTTTTTCTTCGGACAGATAAGTGGGTGCAAACCCCCAAATTTGATGCATTGTTTAAATATATTTTTTGACGATATGTTTATAGGACCAAAAGGAAGAGGGAGTCCTAAACGAAGTAATTAAATCTCATGTAACCTGGACAATGAAGGTTCCTTGCCTCAGGATAAATAAACTAGGATTTACTTTACTTTCTACAACTGTTCAATCGTCCGCGTGGTGCATTGGTTAGAGCGTTTGCTCTAAAGTCGCGGCGTAAGGAGTTGCTCCTTATGTCGCGGGTTCGAATCGAGACCGGTCATTCGGATGAAACCGTATAAATCGAGGCCCCGAGCTGGCATGAAAAAAGATCTCTCACTGCTCAAAGGTCGTAAGTGCCGAGTACAGGCCTAAATTTGCAGCCCTCAACCGGCAAGTAGTGGCGTCTCAATATGAGTGAACAATTCTCAAGGGGAGTCAAACAACCAAACAAATACAACTGTTATTGAGCAAAAAACCCTCTCAAAATTGAGAAATGCAGCATGCTTCTTTGGTAAAGGTTCAGGGAATAGGCTAAGAACATTTTCGAACATGCATCAAATTTTCTTTCATCTTATTTTTTAAAAGCCTCTTGGAATATCTAGCATAAGAAATATGCCCATTTATAATAAACATCGATCCATGTTCCCAGTACTTTATTAATTTTTCACCTGTTTTATGTTAGGATGGTGAAAAAGTTGACCATGTACCGAAAATGCACTGAATATTCTAATAGTTTTTTTTTCTTCATTTTTTTCTTTGTATGTTGGCGGCCGGGGCAATAATTTCTATAGTCACAAAAAACAATGTACCTCTTTTGGTGTTTTGAACATTGGATTTCATAGGTCACTCAGCATTGTAAGTGTAGGCTAAGATGAAGCTTTTTTTTTTAAATCTATGAAAGTTTGAGTTCTCCTTGAATCCAGAAGACAAACAGCAAATGCATTTACTCATGAACAGTGAGCCTTTATCTTCGAATTTTGGAAAATTCGTGTATCGTCGAGGCATTGTATAAGCACTACTGTGTCTGGTAATATTGTCCACGAAATGAAAATGCAAAACATCATTTTGTCGATATTTTTTAAACCCTAATTTTTTGATTCATTACTTGACACAACTGCATTTCATTTTTTTTTTTTTTTTTTTTTTTTTTTTTTTTGTGTACCTTGAGCAAGAAGTTGGGATCTAATGATCAGCGGCTTACAAGTACAAAAATGTGATTTAAAAAAATCTTTAAAATTACCTTTTAAGTTGTACATCAATTTTGATTGACAATACCCTTCAAATCTTCAAAATTATTATTTCTTTCTGAACTTCTAGCATATAGAAGGTCAAAAAAGATTGTGAAACTGAGATATTTTGCATGAAAATTGAGTTACTGCTTGTCCTTTATGAATATGTTTCTGGACAAAAACTGCATATAATTATTAAACAGTGATTTTGTGTTTATCAGATAGAACACGGCAGCGTGAAAGAGAAATAAGAAGACTGGAAGGTAACGACTTCACATAAAATTTACAATTACAATTTGTTAAACGAAGACTTTAATATAATGAAAGTTAAAAAATACGCCATATTTTAATTTTTTAATACTTGGTTATTGAACACAAAGTCATAATCGATTTAGATATTAGGGAAAGATATTGCATTCTGGTACGATGTCATTTCTTTTTAGACAAACTGACAAAGCAGATCGAGGGAGGTAAATACTTAAACTTTATTGAACGATCTTTTTGGATTGCAAGAACGTACGTTTAAAAAGCAAAATACACGTAACTACATGACATCTATGTAAGTGATACTAGAACTGTAAAAAATATAAAGATGTATGATTGTCGAACTTAAAAAGTAACAATTATTTCATGTAAATCAGACAACTTACAATGTATTTTAAATGCTGTTTTACAGTCAAAAGTAAGACAGAACATTATGGATTTGAATTTAAATTGCTATTACATTTAAAAAATTTAAGACTGAAAAAAAAGTTTTTGTAAAATACATATAAACGGCAGCAACGTTCATTTAGTACAGCGAAGAAATTTATGCTTTCAGCTGTATTTGTCTGCAAGATTTATTCAAATAAGAGACTGAAAATCATTTATGAGGCATGGACATTCTTGTATTGTCGTTTTCTTTTAATTTAAATTTCTCTATTGCAAAAATTATTCCGGTTCAATGATTTGAACTTACATGAAAGTTCTTAATATTCAATCACCTACAAATGTATTCTTTATAATTTGACATCAAAGACTTGTAAACATGGGTGCGAGCTTCTGTTTTTGTTAAGTTTTGATTTGCTGTCACGTACTGCACACATCACTGCAACACTGTTATGCTGGTTTTGCATTTTTTTCTATTCTGAATTTTCTTGATAATAGTATGCTTTATCCGAACACCACACATTTCTCGCTTTTCTTAAATATTAAGGATAAGTTTTAGTTCTTGAAAGTGCGTGAATGTATGTCAATCAAACACGCCCGAAATTCATGTTTTTTTTATGATTTTCAGATGAAGTGTTTCAGCACACTTTATAATATTGTATACTGGATTCCTAAACTACATAGAAATCCTTATAAACAAAGATACATAGCGGTTTCCAGTAAAAGTTCTACCAAGATTCTTTCTTTACCCTTACTAAAATATTAACAGTGAAGGAGAAATTTTAGGAGTAATGAACAACATATTCGAGAAGTAGTGTTATCAGCTGTGGATACTTAAAAAATCCAAGGAACTCTTAGAAATCAATAACATTAAAACGTATGACTTTTCTAAATGTTATACAACTATTCCCATCGATAAATAAAAGTCCATGGAGGCTTTTGGATATCATAGACAGCTGCTTTTTCAGTAAAAATTGAATTCGTAAATTCATCTACCTTGTCATTGGTCATTTGCAAAATTATTTTGCTTCAAAAATTCTGATTGTACACACAAGTACTCCGAAGTTGATATTAAAAAGATGCTTGAGTTTCTGATTGACAATATTTATGTTGTTTTGGATATCAGGTCGTCCAACAATCTGTTGGAATTTCCATGGGTACTAATTGCGCCCCGTTATTGGCAGACCTATTTTTGTATTCATACAAAATTGTATTCATATGAAATAAAATTTATTCAAAAACTTCTACATGAAAAGAAGTCTCTTGCTGTGGCCTTCAATTCGACATTTAGATATATCGATATTTTTGTCAATTAACAATATTCATTTTCATTCCTACGTAGATTCGATATATCCCTTTGAATTCGAAATAAAAGACACCACAGAGTCTTACACATCTGTTTCATATTTGGATATTTTATTAAAAAAAGACGTTAATGGCAACTTTAAAAAAACTTAACGATAAATGTGATGACTTCAACTTTTCTATAACTAAGTTCTTTAACTAAGTTTTCAACTTCTCTTATTTATGTAGCAATATACTATTATCTCCTGCATATGGAGTTTATGTCTCCCAGTTGATTCGATACGCAAGAGCATGATCTACATACAAATAATTTCTAAAACGAGGCAAGCTATTGACAAATAAATTGATGATACAAGGATATCAACAGTCCTGTTTAAAGACATTTCGAAAATTTTATAGTTGTTGCAATGACCTTGTTAGCAAATACAATCTATCGTTAAGTCAAATGTTGACTGACGTTAACCGACTAACAAATTGTTAGGCCATTATTTTTACACTAAATTGACTACGGATTTTTCCGTTTGCCGATTCATGACAAGTAGCACACGGCGGGTGTGACCGGTCGACAGAAGATGCTTTCTACTCCATTGCACCTGATACCACCTCCGATGTTTTTAGAGGTACTTGTTTGTTCTGCTCCCAATTTGTATTGTTCCAATGGACTTTTGAGTTTGATTACTGTTCGTTATTCGTTATTTTCATTTTTCATTGGTCTGAAACGCTCTCACAACATGTAAAGCATGGAATTTTATTGAAACATTTTTGATGGATAATATAAACTTCAAAGCTGTGTCCATGCCCCTTTAAAGGTAATGCCCAGTACATATTCACAAATTTCAGTGAACTGAATCAAGAAAGAATCAAGAACAATAAAGATATGGTTTTATAGGAAGATTGGTGTCTTAAAATGGCTTTCTTGAGGGAGAACAATAATGTAATGTACGGCCACGAAAAGTTGAGCATATGCGTTAGTTTGCCCTACAATGATTGATGAATTTTATGCTAAAAAAAAAACAATAACAAAGTTCATAAATTTATTGATTATGTATGTAATTTTCATACCGTTATCATAACTATTCAAGCATTATTAGATAATGATAACAGATAATTATTAGATAATTATAACAGATAATTATTGAGATTTATTTTTAATCTGATTTTACATAATTCAAAGAAAAAGAACATGAAGGTAAGATTATTTATCATTATTTTGTTCATTTTGCATGAATGATGCGGCAATTTCTTACTAAAACAATGTGACCATAAAACATTAAAGACAGAAAATATATTAATTGACAGTTATCAATTGCCGAGTTAATTATGACTAGTTTTAGTAGTAAGGGGGTGGGGGGGGGGGGTAGTCTCGAAATAAAGATTCTGTTGATGTTATTCTCCAAGCTAACAATAGCTTTACTAAATGCATTCAGTTTCTTTGTATGGTACAATGTAGCAGTTAGAGTTATGTTAATTTTGAAAATGGAAGTCTAATTTTTTTTTTTTAAAGTTTTTAAAAAATTTCTGTAGGGTAATCACATGTGGTGAAACATAGTATGCCTTTCTATTTTTGTAACTTGTTCTTATGGAAATTATTACTGACTTTAACTTACTTACTAATATATGATTTTTACTTTCATTATGTTTAAAACTTTTATTTATGCATTTATCTTATTTTATTTTTAAGCCCTAGAGCATGAAAGAAGTAAGTGATTTGAATATAAAACAGATATGATAATGAATATTAATATATCAAAAATTAATTAACATATATTTGTATAAATCCGGTTTCAACAAACAAAGATTTAATGAACATAATCACATATAGAAGGAATTGCAATATAAGTGTAATCTAATGTTTACAAATAATGTGCTTAAAATATTGTTATGAGCATATATATATATATATATATAGAGAGAGAGAGAGGGGGGGATATTCAATGTTTTGTAGATGAATATGGAATTTATTTCACGAGTGGGACAGCATGTTTTGATATTTTCAAGAGTGCGAAGCACGAGTGAAAATATCAAAAAATCCTGTCTCACGAGTGTCATAGCTTGACGTCATGGTTGAGCGGTTGAGACGTCATAGCTTAGCAGTTGTGAGATTGAAAAACATTACTTAGCATGGATTTTAGCAACATATTTGGGAAGAAATTTGCAGTTTTAGCTCTACCAAGATGGTTAGTTACTATCTCTATCTTATGACAGGCCAGAAATTATTTTTTACTTACTTTGGTATCCTTTCACACTGTGAGAGAATATCATTTTGGTATCCTTTCACGCTGTGAGAGAGTATCACTTTTATTCAATTAATAAATATATATTATTATAACAGTAACTTGATCCGAGGAGCCGTATCACGTCGAGTTGACAGGCGCGGATCATCAGATCAAACGAGACGCGAAGCGTCGAGTTTGATCTGATGATCCGCGCCTGTCAACGAGACGTGATACGGCTCTTCGGATCAAGTTACTGTTATAATGATAAATTTATTATATACCCCTTTACAACTAGCAAAGTATAATAAAAGGAAAACTTTTTTGGATCAATTACATAACTTTTATCCATTAAACAAACCATTTTGTCAAGGAACTTTTTGATGCGCGAGAATAAAAACGTCATTTATCTGTGTACTACGTCATCAGTTTCAGAGAGGGGTGATATGGATTCAGAAAACCACAATGTGGTGATCTGGAAAGTCGGATCACACTCTGTAAAATTAAGGACATACGCAACGTAGTTTGAACTTTATTGTCTTTTTCTCTGGAGTTGAAGAGTTCCGATACTTAAAGGAACTGTGTGCTACATTTAAATGTCTATATATGCGGTTGTACACTTCTTCTAAAACAAGTTTGGATAAACAAAACATCTAGAACATATGTTTAGTAATTTTTGTATATTTTTCTTTGAATTGTACAAGAATTTTCATCAATTGATATCTTTTCAAAACCCCTGGTAATGCATGCTGCTTTTTTGTCTACGAACATCTGATGGCACTATAATCTTAAATTAAAAATATCTTGAAAAATTATCAGTAGGTAAGGTACGTTGCGTATGTCCTTAACAGTAACAAAAACAAGGAAATTGATGGGTATATAATAAATCACAGTATTTCACTGTTGAAAACGTAATATATATATATATATATATATATATATATATATATATATATATATATATATATATATATATATATATATATATATATATATATATATATATATATATATAACTCTTTACCAATTTTTACAGATCTCTGGATTCAAAAGCGGGCGGAGGAATACATAGGTAAGCTATACCGTGGTATATTTTATTGCACCGTGCTTTTATTTTCGATTTGCGGAGTAATAATATGTATCAGTGATTGAACACGTAATTCAGCACATAGAAATTAATTATTAAGTACTTTCACAGCCCAGCATATTGAAGAACGGGAGAGGAAAAGTAAGCATATATATAATAATGTCTATTTCCGATATCATATTTGAAAAAGTGTGAATTTCAAAATAATACTGTGAAATGACAATTATGTATATTACATTGAATTATGAACTATATATAACGTTTGGTGCTTATTATATAAATAGTGCACGTTTTTGAGGGTAACAGTTGAAATTGACACCCCAAGGAAAACCATTGTCAACCGACGCGTCAGCGGAGGTTGACAATGGTTTTCCGAGGGGTGTCAATTTCAACTGTTACCCTCAAAAACGTCCACTATTTATTTTATTATACTGAATGTCTTATTGATTTCGGATGTCATAAAAAAAATTCGGAGATCGTCGTTGAGTTCACGCTTAAGCTTTCATACTCCCCGCTTCTATTTTTCTCAATAAGAAAGCTTCGGAAAAGATTTATCAACCTCTTTATTGTTTGTTTGCTACTCAAAAAGTCCTTTATCATCTAAAGTTTGCACTCCCAAGGATGTTTCGTCTGTCATTTGTTGTTTTCAAGTAAGCTACATCAGACGCAAGCTTTTATTGACGTCGTTTATTCGTCTTCTTCCAAACGCACAACTGACGTTTTGAGAATTCTACGGTGAACCGTACGCGCATGATTTGAACGCATGTGATATTTTCGTAGTGTTACCCGTTGTCAAGTGTGTTGCTAACGCTGAGGGTAACATTACGGATTGTTAAATGCGTCTAAACCAATCAGATTTTAGTATTTAACATGAAAGTATAATAAAATTAAATTATTAATGTGTTTGTTTTATTTGTTTTAGAAGCTGAAGAAAACATGCAAAAATATTTAGGTACCCTTTTAAAGGATCAATTTTTCAAAATCCATGGCAAATTTTTTTGTAAGATTTCCCCCTTTCAGATAAAACTCTTGTTGTTTTAGAGCCACTCAAGAAGCCGTGGCGAATGATCTCAGCCGAAGTTGATGATCCATGGACTTCACAGGTGCGGGTAAAAACTGAAATACACATGTAGTTATTTACAAAAGTTATATCTTTAATACGGCGTGCTGCTCTGCATTGTTAATGTTATATATTTCATCATATTAATTAAGTTCAAAGAACAACTTATGGAGAAAATCGTAAACCTGGAGCCAGCTGCTGGGATCAACTATTTTAATATTTTGCTTCTTGGACAAGCTGCATCCGGAAAGTCGTCTTTTCTCAATACATGCGCTACTGCAATAGAGGACAATAATAGACTGATAACCCTCAGTCAAGTTTATCAGAAGGCTTCCAAGAGTGTGACTACGTCAGTAAGCAGCCATTTTGTCAGCAATCATATTAGGAAATTTATAAAGATGCGCAACTTTCTGTAGACTCTGTCATAGCTGTTATTTGTTATATCTGTATAGGTGATAACTTTATATCTTTATCTGACGAAATTCACTTCGTTGTAGTGAAATATTCTCTATACATGTATAAGCTTGATGAATACAAAAATCTAACAATGGCATATTCCCGTTGACATATCATTTTAGCTTGAAGTTTTCCCGCTTCATACCAGGAATGGACAGATTCTTCCACTCCGGCTGTTTGATTGCAGAGGACTTAATGTAGAACACGGTGTACCCACAGAAGACGTCATGCTGATCGTCAAGGGACACGTACGGAACGGGTATGAGGTATAAATATGGTTACAAATGCACATATACTGAGTACATGTAATTTATTTTTCAACTTTATTATTTATTTTTTGTTATATATATTTATTTTCGTACAAACACATTGAGGTCTGATTTTGCCTCATTTCAAATTCTCTTAAAGCCGTTTTACAGCTTCAAAGCTGTGTGATCTTTCTTGGATTTATCCAAGTTTGGTATAGCCCGCTGAGATGGACTTGGAGGACAAAATGAGTGAAAATAAATTAGTGATGAGATTTCTCAATATTCAGGAAAAGACTGATAAAATGTAAGAAGTTATTGTTGTAAATATACATTAATATTTTTTTAAATATGTCAGATTAATCCAGAAGTTTCTATCAAGAAGGAAAACCCAAAATATAGAGAAATTGCGGAACTGAAGGACCGTATGCATTGTGTGGTTTATGTTACTAATGCTGAGAATCCGTCAGAACAACTGACCGATCCCAAAACGGAGGAGCAGCTTAGATTTGTCCGGGAAACGATCGCCTCTGACCGTAAGCTTATTAACTAGTTTTCTTCTACATATTTAGATTACAGAGAAGGTACTACGCTTATTGCTAACCTCTACAACAAGAGGCCCATGGGCCGCATCGCTCACCTGAGCACTTTGGTTAGAGAGAAGAAGAAAATCAGTTCAGTTCTGAAAAGTTTAAATATATGTGTCCCCCCGACCCTACCCCTCTCCCTACTGGGGGGATGATTTGAACAATATTGCTTCCTATTAATATGATTAATCATGGCTTTGCTGTTTTTGAAAAGAAGTTCACTTTTCCGGTTTATTTTGATTTCGATGTATTCTTTGTTTGGTAAAACATGTCGTTACACGAACAAGTCGTACATGACATGCTGGCAGCCATTGTTTGATGTTTTTATTTTCGTTTCACAGATGTACCACAAATAGTCCTCTTCAGTAAGATTGACAAACTCCGCATTTCCAATAAGGATGATTTGCGGGATGTTTTCAGAAGTCAGGGCGTTAGGGATACCTGCTACAAGGCTGCAGAATACATGCAGATCCCGTTGATGAATGTCCTACCAATGTCAAACTACCACGAGGAAAACTTGCCCACTCTAGAGAAGGATATCCTAGCACTATTTTATTTATTGACCATGATGCAGAGAGCCAACGATTTTGTATCAAACTGTGCTAAAGTAAACGTTCCTGAGGAATTTTATGATTAATTCTGTTTTTAAAAAAATATCTGGGAAAAAAAAGCAAACGTATATTTAAATGCTAAGTATCTCTGTATTTACTTATTTATCGACTCTTACAAGAATATGTGAGTTGGAATTGATGAAAGACGTCACACTTAAACTACGTGCTAATTAAGTTTATCATATACATTGTTACACTCTCTAATGACGTAACAATTTATTTTTTAATTATCTCACTTGAGATCATCATGTATAATTGTTATATTGTTATATTCATCTTGTAATACGTCACATATAATATATATATATATATATATATATATATATATATATATATATATATATATATATATATATATATATATATATATATATATATATATATATATATATATATATATATTTTTTTTTTTTTTTTTTTTTTTTTTTTTTCAGAAATCATGCTGTATTAATTTTTACTTTATTTGACTCAGTTATTATACAGATAGCATTTTACACAAGGCTGTAGGAGAATGCATGGGTACTTATCCTGACAATCCTGTCAGATGTAGTATCTGAAGGTACTATGACAAGGCTGTGGCCACACAAGGGATCAAAAGTGTACTATAGAAATGTAGAGGAAAAACTTTAATGCATATTACGGAGTATTCCCAGGAACTACATGTATAAGGCCAGAACTTTTTACAAAGTTACAAGTAGTCTCATTTATGTTTACATCATACCCTCTGGGGGCGGATCAAAATTTAGTGAATCTGTGTGTATCATAACAGAGAACTTGACAGAATTGAAAGAATCCCCCACCCCCCACCCCCCCAAAAAAAACAAAACAAAACCTTGGAAAACAAAACGGCTACTTAAAAGAGTTCCCATTGTGGGAATGTGGAGGGGTTGACCGTTTTACAAGAGGAGGGGGACGGGCTTTCAATGAAAAATTTCATATTTAAGTAAAAGTAAAAGATTATTCTCATAAAGCCTCCTTTCAGTACTGTCGGACTGAAATGTGCCGCATATTGTATTAATTATTGTGTACATATATATCTGCAGTAATTAAATGAAGGCTGGAGAAGTACATGTATCACATTTTCATTAACCTAATCATACGACATGTACAGTGTGGGTGTATCTGAATCGATGAAAACATTTGTTGTTATAAACAATATCACAAATAAGTTTAGACTCAAGAAATTCGTTTAAATGCATTCTGAGAGTATTGCATAAGCAATACTAGTACCCTACCAGCAAGTGTAATCTGGTTCTCCTTAAAAATAAAAAGGCTATATAATTCTATCAAAAACCACTGAAATCTAACAAGATGCTCTTTCTGATCTATAATTCATCAAGGTAGATTCACATACCAAAAAATCAGCTCAATATCTGCAAGTTCTTTAGGGGAAAAGTGCTGAAAACCACGTGGGAAATCCGGTTTCCCTTAAAAATTTAAAAGGGGGGGGGTAATTCCATCAAAAATCATCTAAGTGGAACAAAATTCAAACTTGATCTGTAACTCATCAAGGTACATTCACATGCCAAAAATCAGCTCAGTATCTGCAAGCGTTTAGAAAAAAGTGCGGAAAATTAAGTGAGACGGACTGGCAGACAGATATATGGGGAGGGACAGAGAGAATGACTGAGTGACAGACTAGACAGACGAGGAGGAAACCTATAGTCCCCTACGGTTTCATCGGTAGAGGAATAAAAATTCATGGCATGTCTTAAATAATGTTATATAATGTTATATAATGACAAAGCTGTGCTGTTCATTTCATTAATTAATTTACATCTTATCAATCAAATGTTCATAAAAGTCTGCAAAATGGCGTATCTAAATAATAAAACCTCTCCAAAACATATTAATGAGAAATTGTAAAGATTAGAACAGGGGTGGATTTTTTCCCGAAGGAGTGGGGGGAGGGGGGCACATTAACTCTAGTTACAAATGAAATGTCAGGCTCACAAATTTTTTGACAAGCAAAAAAAAAAAAAGATAATAATAATAAATAAAATAACAATAAAATAAATAAATAAAAAAATTAATAAATTGATTAATCAATAATAGGGCCTAATAGTAAAAACTTCACTAAATTTGAAAAAAAAACTGTTTCGGGAGGGGGTGTCTTAAGTCACATTTTAAGAGGGGTTTGAATTTCCTAGGGGAGATCCAAGGTAACTTTTTCATTACTTTTTCATAAAAATTCAAATAACTCTCAACCCCACTCCGCCCTTGTTAGAAGGATGGACAATCGGTCTACTACAGTCCCTGAAACGTTCTACTTTCCCATTTTTCCGTTCGCTCACCGTTCGTTCACCGTTCGTTCAGCGTGCGTTCACCGTTCGTTCAGCGTGCGTTCACCGTTCGCTCTCCGTTCACAGTTTTGCGTTCACCGTTCACTGTGCGCTCGCGTTCACCGTTCACAAAGCGTTCAGCGTTCGCTCTTCGTTCCGTTCACTTTGCGTTCACCTTGCGTTCAGCGTTCACTTATCGTTCAGTTTTCATTGCCATTCGGAACTCCGAAGTGAAAGGACTTATCTTTTTGTAGTTAAGGAGTTACAGGTTTTTTTTCAATTTATTAACTAACATATCATGTTTGAAGAATCATTATTTCATGAGGAAAAATATCTACGATATATATTTTTATTATTTTAACTTAGCTGTTAGGTTATTTATTAAATTACTCTGGAAAATAAATGTTGTTACAAGCACATTCTGTACTTATGTAGAACGATGTGAAATATTAAATTTAACTAAGGGCAATGTGCAAATACTTCAAGCACTGCAACATTTTGTTGTTTTGTTAAAGACGACAAATCATTAATGGAGATCTAATTATTCAAGTCAAATAATTACACAGCAAAATTACGAAAATATTTATTTCTAATACGTTTTTTTTCAATTACTACGGAAAATATAATAGAACTAGTACTAGTTCTGAGAGTTATACATAGTACTGCGGATATTCTGTTTATTTATTATCTTTCGAACGAATTGATAGTGTGGTTAAAGGAAATATTTATTTAAAATGTAATGCACTACAGAATTTCTCTACTGTAATATGTAAAGTCTATAGTTATAGAGAAAAAAAAAACTTTCTTCACCGTAACTTTATATGTTTGCTAATCGATATGATTAATACTCCCCCCCCCCCTTCCCCCTAAATCGGTGACTTAGTCAGTACCATATTTCCAGAATGTTTTAATTAACATTTTAAAAAAAAGCTACGGTCTTCTTTAGAACAAAAATTTCAGTCTCAAAACAAACATGCATCTAAAAAAGTCACAAAACAATAGAAGATCAAAATGTACACGTGTCGGCGGTGGTATTTGAAATTGGCAGAGAGTATGTTTCACATTCAAGTGTTAATGCCTAATGTATTTTACTAATTTATTATTCAAATGTTGGAATCAAATCTAGAAATGATAAAAATAAATGTTATAACTTGTTGGAAATACTCGCACTTCATCTTCGATGTGACGAAACTTTCACACCTGCACAGTGTCGAATGATTTTGATTGACAGGACAAGCACGTGGACTTCGTGTGAACTTGAAGCAGGAAAATAATAAATGAGTATGACTGTCAAACAAATGGATATGATTTGTTGATAAAAAAAAAGAAGTTACTTTCACTGTCTGATATATTTAGAAAAAAATTTCCGAGTTTTTGTTTGATATAGGTACAAACATTTGGTGAAGCCTGAAAGGAGGGGGGGGGCTAAAACTGAATATTACTCTCTCTCTCTCTCTCTCTCTCTCTCTCTCTCCTCTGTTTAATAAAAACTATAACACCATATTACTTAAATATCAAGTTCTGAAAATTGAATTTATAACAAATAATATGAATATGTATCTTTGTATCATCATGATCTTGTCCGAGTATAATCACGGCCATCTAGAGATGCATGTAGACGTCTGCTCAATAAATCATAATGAAAAATGGAAATGATTCATTCTATAAATCATAAGATTTCTCTGATTTGTTATCAACTAAGAATAAGCATTTTTATTTTCCAACTAAAAAAAAATATCTTTTATACTTCAGCGTTCGGCAACAATTGCAATGTTTTAATGCGATAAAAATCGTGTGATTAAAAACTTAATGTGCATGCATCGTCTTTCTGAGGACAATTTTGGAGAATTTATTTTATTGACTTAATTATTCATACATTTATTTGTTTACTTATTTATTTATTTTTTTTTTTTTTTTTTGGCACCTGACATTATAATACAATAAAATAGTTTCAATGCAAGGAAAAGATCAGAGGCATTCCGAATATATCGTTCATCTTGCGTTCACCGTTCGTTCACCGTTCACTTTGCGTTCGCGTTTGCGCTCCGTTCGCGTTCTGCGTTCGCTCACCGTTCACCGTTCACACATCGTTCACCAAGTTGCGTTCAGCGTTCACACATCGTTCACTCACCGTTCGCTCTGCGTTCGTTCAGCGTTCGTTCACCGTTCGTTCAGCGTTCGCTCACCGTTCAAGTGGGAAAGTAGAACGTTTCAGGGACTGTAACGTTTTGGGGCTCCACCAGTACTGTTAGTACTTTGATTGCTTGTCCTTCGGAACTCAACATAGCTAGTTCTGTAGTAAAGCATCCAAGGTAAACCGAGTGTTGAATACCACAGAGAAAATTCGATTTCTGTAAACAAAATAGACTGAGCTGGCAGTATTTAAGTAAGTCTTTAAACCATGGCAAGATTTTTTGAAGATGAATTAGTTATCAAGTACTTTAATCTTGTTATTCCACGAGCGCCTGATATTTTATCAAATAAAGCCCTCGCTTAAAAAGTCCTTTTAGCTGTTTAGTTCTTTTAGACTGAGAGCATGATCTTTGATCTAGAGCTCAGGAGCTTACCTGCAACTTACTGATAAAATTTCAGGTACCTGTCTGTACAAATATAGAAGTAGATTTTCGATCTAGAGCTATGTTCATAATATTTGCAACTTGGTAAAATTCCAGGTGTGTCTGCATTAATTAATAAGACAACAGCGGTTAAATTGGTACGTTAGATCTTAACCATTAACTAGCAGTAATCCAAATTTCCCACTACCTACATGTCCACTACTAGGGTAAAGAAAAAAAGTAAAAAAGCTAAACATCTTAGTTAATTAAGTCTGTCAAGAGTGTGCTGACTTTTCCTATTCAATTTTAGTGAGGTGTTTCCACGCATGTTTTTGATGACCATCTTCATTGGTAAATTCGACATTATGTTAGTACATGTATATATGGGAGATAGATTTTTTAATTTTTACAAATTTACTATATTAAAAGGGGGTACATCAATCAGACTCCTTACATCTGTCTGTGTCACATACATTCTGTGTAAGAAGCTTATGTAGAGTGTAATAATATATATACAGGTGTGGATGTAAAAGTCTGATTTTAATTAAATTGGGTGATGGTGGGGGGAGGGGGTATACTATGAATGTTATTATTGTTGTTGTAAAACACACAATTATATATGCAAAATGGAAAGGTGTTAAGAAAAACAATATTTCTACTGAGCTGTTTATGTTAAGATGAATGCAGTATCTGGAAAAAAGAGGAATGTTACATGATTTGATACACTGAAGTGAAAATTCAATATTTTTAGCAAAGTTCACTCTTCTAGAAGACAGGCATATTCATAACATACAAAGGATTTTGCAATTGAACCCTAGCTAAAAGACACTTTTTATTTCCATTTTCAGATCACACTGGTACATAAAAAACAGGAGGAAATGAAGACTTCATGAAATGAATTAAGAATCTAAAATATGAGTGTCTATGTACAACAGTCAAAATCTGGTGAAACAATATAGATTTGCATCAGTACTGAAAAAAATAAAATGGGAATTATAGAATGACCATTCAAACTAGAAACTTGATCAACATATATTAAATTCAGTAAAACATTTCCCAGATTTGAAGATAATCATGGGGGATGTATTTGAAGATAAACAACATTCTGCTGAAAGCCCCCCTGCACAACGTGTGTCTCGCATGTCAATACCAAGCACTAAACAAAATGAAGACAAGCTTTTGGAAGAACAAAAATTAAAAGAATCTAAACAGGACAAGTCCAAAAAATCTCATACCAGTAGAGGGCACTTCAGTTTTAGCACAAATAGTCCAACACTTTCAAGTCTAAAACGGCCTTTGAGACATTTTCTTGTAGCTGCCAAACCATTTTCACCAGTAAAGCATTCAAAATTTAAGCTTGACAATAGTTGTAATTCGAACACACCCTTGCAACTTGGAGCTCAGAAATTTCTACAATTGTCAAACAATCTCTTGAAAGATGATCAATCAGGTGTGGCAGTGCCCAATTCCAAAGAGGTCAAGACCAAGGTTGTTGATTTATCCTTTAATGAGTCCACAGAAACTGGTTCTATGAGTAATACCTTAAGGATTTCTTCAAAGCATGGAACTGACAGGGCAGTAGAGGAAGTGTCTTTAGGGGAACAATACCAGCCATCTGACAATCTTTTGAAAGCTGATCTGTCAGGCATGTCCACTTCTGAAAAGGTTAAGACTGAGGTCTTCGATTTTTCCTTCAAGAGTTCCCTAGAAACCGGGTCCTTGAGTAATGTTTTCTCTGAAAATTCTCTACACCATGGAACTGAAGTGCCAAATTCAGGAGATGTTAAGACAAAAGTCTTTAATTTATCATTAAATGAGTCTCCAGAATTCATTTCCATGTGCAATGACTCAATAGACAGTTCTTCATGGCAGGGAATTGAAGTATCCAACGATGTTAAGACTGAAGTCTTGGATATATCATTAGATGATTTCACAGAAACTGATTCCATGTGCCATGACTCGACTGAGAAATTTTCACAGCAAGGAACTAAACTGTCCAACGAAGTTAAGACCAAGGTCTTTGATATATCTTTTATTGAGTCCTTAGAATCTCATTCCATGTGCAACGACTCAACTAAAAAGTTTTCACAGCAGGGAACTACAGGACCCAATTCTGAGGATGTTAAGACCAAATTCTTTGATTTATCATTTAAAAAACCCCCAGAAACCAATTCCATTTGTGAAAATTATTCACAGCACAGAAGTGAAGGGTCCAGTTCTAAAGATGTTAAGACCAAAGTCTTTGATACATCATTAAATGAGCCCCCCGAAACCAATTCCATGTGTAATGTCGCAACTAAAAATTCTTCGCAACACAAAACTGAGTCGGTAAAAGAGGAAACGACTGTAGTAGAACGACATGTCTCCGTTACCTTCCTACCAGTCCCTCACTCTGAAATGCAGCTTCTTCCTCTCCAGCAAGGAAAGATAAATCATAAAGAAAGAAGTAACGTTGAAGAAAGCAAGGATGATTTATGCTTACGTGAGATTGAGGCTGGTGAACAAGCAAGTCCCAAGAAGAGGCAGCAACTCAGTGGTCCATCCAAAGAGACTAAAGAGGAGCCAGAGTTGGTAAGACTATACATTTGTTTCATTTAAGGAGTAAATCATGTATGCACCTGCTGAAAAATGTTGTTTATGCATCTCCTACCTATACTATGCAGAGCAGGTAAATATATGTATTATACTTGAATTATTTGGGTCTCATAATTATTGTAGTATTTTAAAGTAGCTAGCATGCATAATGAATGTCAGACAGTGTGTTACTTGAATGTTCGTGTTGTTTACAGCATCTGGTGATGACTTATTTAATAACTGATGTATTATAGGGCTATTGAACTTATAATGGTGAATATTGGCTCGAGTTGGTTGTACAAGCCAATGAGTGCCAATATTCACCAAAATTAATTTAATAACTCCTTTACTATATCATTATAGTTAAACATTTTCAAATTGATTTAAATGTTAATTATTTATATCAAATAACTCAAAATTGATGTGTGAAAATAGACACATCTTAAGACCTAGCTGCCACTACCCAGCATAAATATTGCCATTGAGCAGTTCACCAGAGGACATATTTTTGTTTACAACGGGGCATTCAATATTGAACCCTCACATTCGGAATGATTCGGGGCATACTTGTATACATATTGCAAACTAAGCATTCAATAAAACACCAAGATATTGAACGCTAAAATTCTCTAGAATTTTAGTAGTTATTTTATCATAGACTATTTATTAGCTATATAATAATTGTCATTATTGTGTGACTGTCACACTTTCTTAATTTTAGACTTATAGAATGATGTCAGCTCAATTTTTTTCAACATTTGTTCTTGGGTTATTTTAGATGCAAACCTTTACTTTGTTAACATGTACAAGTATCTCATGACCTATACCATTTCTGCCATCTTTACTTCAGGAATTAGAGGAAGACACAGAAAAATCTAATGGAAAAAGACCAGCTTTAGAAGAAGACAGTGCAGAACCCAACAAGAAACATCGACCTCTCAAATGTGAACGCTGTAAACAGTTAATGCTATCCAATAACCTAGAATTGTCTAATGATATTTCTTGTGAGTTTTGTTCGAAAGAGTTTGACTGCTACTGTGCACTGGAATTCCACAAAGTAACCATTCACATAGAGAAGAAACCTCATTGTGCATTATGTTGCAAGGTTATAACGGGCCCGAAATTATCGGAGCATTTACAGAGCCATGGGCTGACATCACAGGACCTAATGATCACATGTGGTGATTGTAACATCTATGGTTATAAGTGGTCCAACAGAACCTTCTTTAAGAAAAATACTTTCTGTACACACCTGCAAGGGAAGGATACTCTTTATAACAATGTATTAATAAAATGTCCTAAATGTCCAGCAGAGTTTGATAGGCTGGAGATTTTTGAAAGTCATCGAGAAAAAATGCACTAACTTTCAACATGATTTATCGTACTGTAAACAGGGTTTTTTTTTCACCCTTTCACACTAATGTCTTGCAAACAATTTGTCCCATTTTAAATTTGCCCAGTCACAGTTCTGTTTTGAAAAATAATACCATTTTCTTTGAATTTGCCACGTTTTAAATTCACCCACCTGTGAGTAGGGAGAAATGGGCGAAAATAGGACGGTGGCAAAAATTTCCCTGTTTACAGTATAAATCAACAAATTAAAATTTCTGTCAAAGATACTGGATTTAAGCTACTGAAATCTCTAAACTCCAAGTGAACTTAAAGAAAAACATTTACTATTTTTTTGTTTCATTTATTGTGATTGTGATGGATTGAAATACAGCTGAAATTGTACACAGCAGAAATGATTTGTTACATATACATACAGTTTTTAGAGACAGTATATGCTTATTGTAGCAAACACATTCATTATAAATTCATAAATACGGTGAGGTGATTGTCCTCCCCCATTGCTTTAAAATAGTAAAGTAGACAGGACAAATATATCGAATTAAGTTATCAATGAAGCCAAATTGTCCGTCTTTAGCAGTGTTTGAAATAACTGTGTGCCCAACTGCCCAAGATGCACAAATTTAGCAGAGGGTGAACAAATTTGCATGGTTTGATGTTTGACTGGACCTGTTAAAATTTTCGATAATTAAAATTCATATATTTGTCAATGATAAATCTCTTTCACATCAACTAATAGTATCGGTAGCAAAGTGTAACAAGCCAAGAGGAAGAATTCATCAGTCTATAGATTCTAGTTGGTTTGAAAGTATGGTGACCTGGTTCCAGTCACATAATTGTTAAAAACAAATTTATAAATTACAGACATTTTCTCGGTCAAGTAGATCTTTGGCAGGGCTGACAACTTTTACTAGCAGTCAGCCCTGCATGTCTGGCTAATTTTGCAGTGAGTTTCAAACACTGTCTCTAGCACTTCTGTGTAAGTGTGTTTTACTGTTATGTATCAGGTTTAATGACAGCAGCTAGGCAATTGCATGAATAGTTTTTCATGTTAATTTTTGACTGGCTAAAAAGTTGCAGGGAATATATGATATATCATGTCTTTAATATATGTAAATTGTACTAAGGTAATCTATCATAATGTTGTGAGCATCAAATAAAAACATAACTATGTCTAATCTTTTTTTCAGTTTCATTTCTTGTTGTACAGGTCAAAGGTCAAAATCATATTCTGTAAGTTTATGTTAAACATGTTTGATAATCCTTAATATGATGTTTGCATAACTGTACCCTATTGTTCTAATTATATTTCTTGGTGGTAAGCCAAAAATAAAGAGACCATGATTTATCTTAACAAATGTTGAGGTCAAATTCACTTACAAGTAGAATAGAACACAGTTGTATTTACTATATTGGCTAATGCTCATCAAATAAAACATTGCTTCCAGTGAAATTTGCACTTCCAGAGCATAATCAGCTGTCTCACAATTTTAGAAATAAAAAAGAAATAAAAGAGACAGGTTTTGAACTATAGTAATGCAGGGACAAAAATATATACATTGTACAAATTAATATATAAATGTCATTTTTTATCTTAGTTGCCGTGATAAAATTTTCATAAATACTATGGTAGCACAGAATGACCAGTAAGGATTTGCTAGGGGGCGAATGAAATCCAGTCAATGCGCCCCCTAACAAAACCGTCCCGGTCAAAGCGCCCCGTGATTTTGGTCAAAGCGTCCCCTGATTTTGGTCAAAGCGCCCCCTAAAGAAATTTTACAGAAAAATGATGTGACAAAACCGCCCCCAAATATTGGTCAAATCATAGTAGAAAACAATTCCAACGAAATGAGAATGTTCGCCGGTATCATTTAATTATCCCCCTCCCCCTAAAAAAAAAATTGATTCCGATACCGTTGCCCAGCTCTTGCCACGTGGAGGCCTTCTCAAAAAGAGCCATAATTTTGAAGAAAAAATGAAAAATTTAACCCAAAGATGACTTTCTGAACTTCAAAATCCAAGTATTAAACACAATTATTGCAAAATATAATATACTCGATAATCTCTCAGGAACATTTCCAAATTACGGTTGACTTTTGTTTGTTTGTTTTATTTTAATATAGAACAGAAATGATTTTATCATACAAGAAATTTTTGAGAATGTTCGCCGGTATCATTCAATTAAAAAAAGCACCCCCCCCCCAAAAAAAAACAAAGAACAATACCGTTGCCCAGCTCTTGCCATGTGGAGGCCTTCTCAATAAGAGCCATAATTTTGAAGAAAAAATGAAAAATTTAAACCCAAAGATGAATTTTTGAAACAATCAGACTTCAAAATGCAAATAATTTAATCCAAACAGAAATAATGAAACTTTAAAAAATAATAATTTTATTTAAAGATGGATAATGAAACAATCCAAATGAAAAGGTAACAATTATTGATTTTCTAATACCGAATATTTAAAATAGTAATAATATTAAATCGCGAGTGTAAAAACGATGTTTAATTAAAATTATACAAGTAATTTAGCTTAATTTTTCTAAATTAATCAAATTGAAAAAAAGGAGAGAAAAAAAAATGAAAATCCTGAAAGGAAAACATGGTTAATTAAATGAACAATAAATGTTATCTGTGAAAAATTGCATTAATATCTTTTTTACCAAGACATTCTGAATTAAGAATCTTTCGGAGCAAGGTGGCACATATACAATATCTTAAAGAAAAAAGTAAATAAAATACTAAATTGAGACATTAAACGCATGTAAGATAAATGCTGTAAGTTACTATTTACAACTATGTACAACATCTGTCTGAAAAAGTTTCAGATCCCCATGCATCACGCAATGTCGCAGCAAGGCGACGTAGAGATCTGATACTCATTGTCCAGGGCTCTTTAAAAGGTCAGTCACGTCTGTTTGTCAATGGGGCCTATAATCTTACCACACTTGGAAAGGAACCGCAGGGAGCGAATTTCCTTGGACTCGTACTGGTCCCAGAGGCGGAAGATTCGCTGCTGTTGTCCGGTCTTCCTCTGTCTGCGGCATAACTTTCCTTCGGACACCAATTTCCGCTGAAGGGGTAGCAGATTGGCCTCTTGGTGGAGAAGTGGCACCAGAACATAGAAGGGCAGCTGTCCATTTGGTGATTGGTCGTTGAGGCGCCGGTGCCAACCCTCAACGTCGTTGTTGGTACGTATCGACTGCCTGAACACCGACCATGAGTGGGTGGGCCACAAGGGATTGTCTATCCAGGTCTCCTCCAAGTAAACCATCAGCTCCTGTTGTTTTTAAAGAAAATCATACTTAAGAATATGCAATTTTAATCAAAGCATATTGTTTTTTTTTTTTCAATGTAAAAAATAGTAATATATATAATGAGATGCAAAAGTTGTATTTAATAAAATACCTCAAGCAGGGGGGTCGAGGCTCGCTCTCGAAGCTTATTGAAAGCTTGCCCGATGTGTGCCGAAGGAAGGAACGGCAGGCCAAGGCTTATCAAATCGTGCGTCCCGTCGTCATGTCTGTACGCTGACGAGAGCCCAATAGAAGCAGCTTTTCGCCAGACAGCCTGGGTCCAGTGGAAGACACATCCATGGATGTTGAGGTCTGGTAAGGTCTCCCTAATGGCTTGCCAAAGACCTGCCTCAAAGTCAACAACAACGCTGTTAACTTCAGGCTGCCTTGGCAGGTGTTCCAAAAGAACAGAGAGGACCTGAAATAAGTTAAAAAAAAATACAAAACAATTTTTATTCATTGTCATTACAATACTGACATTTCACACACTTTAACTTATTTTAACTGAAAATATGTGATGTTGGTATACATGTAAACATATTGAATTTTTCTTGGCCGATTAAAATGTGATTTACTAATAACATTCATTTATTTTGTGGAGAATACCTCGCCATAATCCCTTTTCCGCTTCCCAGACATCAGAATGAAGACTAGCGGAAGCTGCTTCATGACATCGCCCGATTTGATGAAGGCGTGGATAGTCAAAAGCTGATAAAACGGTGCCCGGACGATCTGAAAGTCCCGTCCATATACCACCGTTTGGCCCCACAGAGAGTTTGAAGACCATCCGGGGTGGCAAAGATGAAATGGCGGCGGTCTTCTACTCGTGCCTCTCCTATGAAGAAGTTGTCCGGTAGAAAATCCACATTAACCTAGAAAATGATATTTTGATAAATCTAACATATATTTTTTTTAGTTTGCCAGCGATAAACTTCAAAAATATTTTCAACAAGAAAAAAAAAAGAAAGATTAATTAACAAATAAATGTGTATTAAACTTATAAAAAAAAAAATCTCGCTTGCCATTCACATACATTAAATATGTAGTTACTTTACCTCGAAATCTGCCAAGTTAACCGGGTGTTTTGGCCTCGCAACGCTTTTGATCTAACACTTCAGCACCAATCGACGACTGTGTTGTTCTTCCGCATTCGCTGTAGTAGAGAGAGTTATTTTTATTGGAATGAACAATAAATCGCCTTAAGGACATACGCAACGTACCTTACCTACTGATAATTTTTCAAGATATTCTTAATTTATGATTATAGTGCCATCAGATGTTCATAGAAAAAAAATCAGCATGCATAACCAGGGGTTTTGAAAAGATATCAACTGATGAAAATTCTTGTATAATTCAAAGAAAAATATACAAAAATTACTAAACATATATTCTAGATGTTTTATTTATCCAAACTTGTTTTAGAAGAAGTGTACAACAGCATACATAGACATTCAAATGTAGCACACAGTTCCTTTAAGTATTGGAACTCTTCAACTCCAGGGGAAAAGACAATAAAGTTCAAACTACGTTGCGTATGTCCTTAATCTATTATCAAGCATATTCTCAATATGACTATCCCATATACTATATAACAATCGGTTAATTTATTGTCAGCATTTTTGAAAATAATTAACTTTTTTGAATAGTAATTTATACTTTGACTGTGTAGGAGTATCCTCTGCTGTCGGTTAATTTTCGTTTTCCCTGATTTGACCCAGTCTCCTCCACATGATACTCGATGGGTCGATCCATAGTCACTTCCATGGGTTCATCTTCTGCCACCGACCTAAAAACAACAGATACTGCTTATTTACAAGCTTAGAACTAGTGATGATCTAAGTTCTAGGATGATGCAATATATTACACATGTAGGTACTGCAATTTTTTTTAATAATATATTTATTATTATATTAGAATGTATAATGTATTACTATCTCATATATATGATGTATGTAAATCTTACTCTTCCACGTCTTGAGGTACGTCATCAATTGGTCCAAAAGATTCGGAAGATTGGTCAACAAAGGGTGGTGGTGTCCTCCGTAATATAGTATTGTCCAAAATTACCCTTCTCGTCTGGTCTGGAACACTGTTATAAAGAAAACAATTGTTTATTTTCTGTGCTCGATGATACCCATATAATTACACATATATTCTCTATTAACTATAAACATATATATAATTGACTTAATTATTATAGAAAAGTTACTTGTCCATGTCGTCATCCTCAGAGTCACTTGAAAATTCGTGGTTCCGTATCACAAATGTTTCGTCCAGCCGTGCCTCCGGTATGTGCAAGTCCATGGAAATTGAAAACCGTCCAAATTGGCCCTCGGAGATTGAAGATCTGAAAATGAATTCAAACCAATTATATACAATCTCATCCAAATGTTGAAACGATAAAATGCTTTCTCTGTTTGTTAATTCGGGATGTTATGATTGCAACTATAACCTGCACAATTGATCATATGAGAATTTTCGTATACAATATTCCATTGAGGTAAATAAAATTAAAAATGAACTCCAAAACAGAATCATTACGTTACATACCGTATACTCTGATTCCCAACTCTGGTGCTTTCAAAGGCAGGCTGCCCGATCGTACTGCGCGATTGGTTATCATCGTTGATGGAGTGGTTGGTGTCCTGGGCCCCCTGGTCGTAAGTGGTGTTGATGTCCTGGGCTGACTGGTCGTCGTCCTGGGCTGGTTGGTCGTCGTTGTCCTGGGCTGGCTGATCGTCGTCATCGTTGTCCTGGGCTGGCTGGTCGTCGTTGTCCTGGGCTGGCTGGTCATCGGTGTCCTGGGCTGGTTGGTCGTCGTTGTCCTGGGCTGGCTGGTCGTCGTTGTCCTGGGCTGGCTGGTCGTCGTCACAGACCACATATTAAACTAAATCTATGTAACGATTGATGACACTTAAAAGACTTTTCATTCCGAATTTAGGGCTGTGTAATTTTCGATACGATACAATATTTTATAAAGCGCATTGTGGTATATTGAATTCTTTAGCTAGACTATCTAAAAAATCTGATGAATCAATTAATGCAAAATTTTTATAAAGAAAAAAAAACAACAACTAACTCCAGAGTTCCTGTATCATTGTCATTACAAAGCACACTTCAAAGAATATTCTAAGCTAAAGAATTCTAATCTAAGATATTACTGTATACTAAATCATGATCTATATAAACGAAACATTATACATAGTCCCTTATATTTATGCGAAAAAAATGAAGATGTGTACCATTTCCTTTTTGCATGCAGAAATTGATCTAATCAGGAAGTACTCTTTTTAATCGCTTGTTCACTCTTGAACTGGTTACTATCGATATAAATCTAAATCAAAACAGTTAAAAGGAAGAAACTAGCCAACTCCATGAAAGTCAATGTGTTCTTGATCAATAATATTGGATAAATTAAGGAGATAACATTAAAGTGCCATTAGATAAATAACATCATTTTGAGTATTATTCATTAACTATAAGAAAAACTGACTGCCCGATTCGTGTTGCAAATTATTTTTTCGATACAAAATTTACTTGAATATGGATAGGTATAGACATATCGATATATTAATACAATCCTTTTATATGTAATGCAGTCTCATTAATCTGCTGTCGAATTATGAATGTATCATTATTTGGAGCGAAAACTTTGATAGTCCTGCTTTACAATGATCAAAAGCTGCTGAATCTCAGAATATACTAGAATGTCAATTTTTAATTTAAAGAGGATAGCATCACATGGACATGTTATAAACCTCATATATAAATAATATCATTAAATATATAGATATGCGCACTACATATTTGTTATTTCTAAAAATTTGTGCGCTATATTTTCACTTCTTGTAGTGTTATTCATATCATACGAGGTTACAAGTACCTCTGACAATTTTGTTTTTAAAAATGAATTTATGCTATGTTATATTTTCTCTTGTGCATTTACGATAGCCACACATTTTCAAAATCTTATCATACGTAGTTAATCTAGTGATAATAATATGTTGACCAACAAAGTAGAAATGTTATGGGTATATTGAGTATGAATGTAAGAGGTTTTTTCTTCTAACAGCCTAAAACGTAGAGATGTGTTTAACTAGGTCAGAAATTAAAAAAAAAAATCTCCGTTTCCTTCAAGAAACACACAGTACTCAATTTTTGGCACCAGAGTCTAAAAAGTCTAAAAAGTTATTGAATAAGATGGTGTGTCGCGAAGTTTGGAGGTTCAGTGTCACAAACAAACGAATTACATTTTGTGAAGCAGGAAATGACGTAGATTCTTTGAATCTTTTCCATTCGTATAAAAAAGAAGGTCTTTCAGAAAATTGACAAGAAAGCATTGATGTAACCATCAATTGTCGCCCGGGAAATAAATAAAGTAAACAATGGAAATGAGTCTTTATCATCAAACCGCTTCGATATGTGTGAAAAAGGCATGCGTCTAAATGATGGAGACGATAGTCGAGAATATTTTGAAAACTTATAGTTGGATGAAAATCGAACAAAAACGATACCCTTTTAAACTTTATCAATTTCTCAAGTAAATGTTGGCTGCATAAAATATAATTTGAAACCAGACACATGCATCACCTATTTTCAAAAATATCTTTCACTTTAAGAATATAATACAAGAACTGTGTAAAGTACATTTTTACGTTTTTATGCGATAAGTAAAATTCGATGTTTTAAAAAAAGTGACCTGTCGTTTTTTCGATAGTAAATGATAAGCAACTTTATATATTAAACATGAAAAACATATATATTTTTACAGATTCACTTTATGGAAGTAAATATATTGTGTATCTCGTAATCCTCCTGTTTTAAACACACTTAAGGAATTAGAAATGAGTTAATCAATAAATATTTTTAAACACATTACGCGACGTCAAAATGAGAGATTTGTTTTAATAAACCTATCACAGAAAAGCACGGGAATTTTTTTCCCATAGGAATGCACATATTCACAAAGAAATTTATTAAATAAATCATTAAAAAAAATGAATAAAATAAACAATGTATTTTGTAAAATGGTTTGGTCTAAAGCCTAAGGTGATTAACTGTCAACAGTGTGCGGTCTTTGGTGCCCCCCCTCCCAATCCTGTTTTTTTTTTTTTTTTTTTTGTTTATGATAAAAGCAGATTTCATTCAGTTAGCTGAATTTGTGGTGTGTGTTTTCCAGGAGTAAAAAACATTTATCTGGACAATAATACGACACTGATGAAAAAATACATCGGAACAATAACTGTAGACCCTCTGTACACTAAGGAACATTGACATTAAGAAAATGCGATATATTTTGAATTAAGAATATAAATCATATTTCTTTTAAAAATGCTTTTCATCTGCAGAAATTAATAGCAATGATTATAAAATGTTATCTCTCTAAATTTGATAACTTCACGACCTGACCAGTGGGAGTGAGGGATGCCATCCTATTCAGACATGCATAGATACATGTAATATAAAATGTTAAAATCCGTCATAGTTTACAATTCAACATAGTCATTGTTAAACATAAGTATACATGGAAGTAACTATAAGCATATGGACTGGTGTTTTTAACATTACAGGAACTTATGTTTTATTATATTAAACATGCATACTTTGGTATGCTGGAAACAGAAATTAATTATAACATCATTTTCAACCATGATTATAGTTTGTTGATCATTTTGTTTAACTTACAAGAAATAACAATTTCTTCCAATTGAATCTTATAACCAACTATTTAAATAAAGAAAGAGATATGAAGGCTTGGCAGATTTATTGTTCATATGATTTTAAAGAAAAATTTAACCCCCCCCCCCCAAAAAAAAGAAAGTCTTTTAGGAAATGTTAACATCTGAGTCCAATTAGACTTGTGCTACTCAAATTATATCTCATCTACTTTATCAGTATGTTTACTGGAATGCTAAAGTTTATAAATACAAAAGAAAATAAACTTACCAGTGTTGCAGGTTCTGTGAGTCCATTTCTCACAGCCATCACACTGGATTGCGTGTTGGCGAGGCCTAACCGTCTTCTTACACAGAGTGCAGGAATTCATTTTGGTAAATGATATTGAAGTTAAAATTTGTCTCAATATATACTTTTTCCAATATTGAAAATAATTTAATTGGTTAATTTCAATTTGACCAATCGGAGGTATGCAGAAAATGTCAAATACACGATGCTGAAACCCTTAGATCCTCATGTTTTGATAACAATATACTAGTAAGAACTGACATTGCCCTCATTGGGGGTTTGTCGGTCCATTCTCTTTTGAAGATTGACACCCATCTCCCTATGATGATTGGTCGTCAACCTACCTCTGTCACCTTGAAAATGTTGACGAAGACATACACTTGCAAGTAGACTTGCACTCATTTACCAGTGAATAACACAATTTACTATAAGAAATTGATTACAAACATTCATTTCATAATATTATTTTTATATTTTATTTATTGCTTTAGACATACATCTTACCGCATTTTAACAATAACATAAATAATACAAAGTATTACATAATAGCTTTGTATGGCGATTTTTATAGATTACAATATGATAATAATGATTTCTGGGAAAATTACCATATGCGAGAACTCTCATATTTTTCTCTAAATTACAAAGATCATAGACATTGTGAGCACCTAATAATTGTAAAATGTTAAAAACAAGAGATACAAACTGAATCATAGTATACTTGTTCAAATAAATTTTCACAATTTATCATTGGGTGAAATGTGACGAAAAATATGGGATTTCGTTGTACTTCAATTTCCTGAATTTATTAACCAGTAAATAACAATTTACTATAATAGAATTGATTGCAAACTTTAACGCAAACTTTAATTCATAATACAAGAGTATAAATTGAATCATCAGTACTTGCTTAAATAAATATACTTGAATTTCTAATTACACATGCGCCACATTTTAATTAAATTCGCGCCTGAACATAAGAAAAACAATATAATACATAGTGATATTTGAATACACTATTGATAAATAGATAATGAAAAAATTATTGATATATAAATAATGAAAAAATATTGATAAATAGATAATGAAAAAAAGGTTTCGTATGTAATAAGTTTTCGTATCGTCTTTTCCCCTTAAAAAATAGGTTTTGGGGCGCTTTGACCAAAATCATGGGTTTGACCATTGCTTGGTGACAATTTCGAAAACGGGATTCTTCTATACAATTATATTAGGGGGCTCTTTGACCCAAATCAGGGGGCGCTTTGACCAAAAATTAGGGGGCGCTTTGACCAATATTTCGGGGTAGTTCTGTAACTTCATTTTACTGTAAAATTTCTTTAGGGGCGCTTTGACCAAAATCAGCTGGGGGCGCTTTGACCAAAATCATGGGGCGCTTTGACCAATATTTGGGGGCGGTTTTGTAACATCATTTTTCTGTAAAATTTCTTTAGGGGGCGCTTTGACCAAAATCATGGGGCGCTTTGACCGGGACGGTTTTGTTAGGGGGCGCATTGACTGGCTCCCGGGGCGAATATGTCGTTTTCAGTTTATTTACCCTCGGGTTCGTTATTCGAGTAATACATCTATGGTCAAAGCCAAGAGAACTTATCGGAGATGTTTTGCATATATATATATAACTTATAAGGAGGTAGATTACTTTGTAGTAAGTAGCATTTAACACAAGACTTAATATTTCCAATAGTATTGTGAAATAGGGACATATATATATACTTGTATATAGGTTCCTGTCTGCAGGTGCACAAATGTGTCTTTGACAGGGCAGGTGCTTGCCATCATAGATTTGCACACAGCTTAGCTGTTTTGTACCCCAAGATGACTACTTGGTACTTCAGGTGGTATAGGAAAGATCTGAACGTATGGTTATATTTTCTTTAACTGTGATCTCATTTTCAGAAGTTTATTGGAAAAACTTAAATTCTTTCGGGTACATATCATATGATGGTATCGGGTGGTTACGTTCCGATTCCGTGTTCGACCCGCGTGGTTACGACCCGAGTGGTTTCGACCTACTCTAGATCTAATATACATCCCTACATGTCAATAACTGAGTACAGGGGTACACACTGTGCGGTAAACAAATGAATATTCGGTAGCTGTATATTGCATGGCTTCAGAAATGTACGTGTCAATAGGTCGTTGTTTCCTTATGTGTAGCCAACATGCAGTCAGATGGCTTCCTAACATTTTTTTCTACTATCGCGGAGCATGGATGTTATTAATTTGATTTAGTAATGAATTATATTTGAACAGTTTTCCATAAAAATTAATCAAATACTTCTTCAAATGTACCGTGATCACATATGCACTGTCTAAACAATGTACGTTGCTCTAAATTAAATTGCACACGATAATTAACACTATTTAAATGATAAAAATATACTTGGTCGATATAAAAAAAAAGTAGACGAAAAAATAAAATGTAAAACTTTTGAAAGTGTTAATTAATTTCGTTCCGAAGCAAATAATTGTTAATTAAAAGCAAATAATTGTTAATTAATTGCTTTGGAACGAAACCACTCGGGTCGAACATGGATTCGTGTCGTAACCACGCGGGTCGAACAAGTAATGGGAACGTAACCACCCGCATTCCATATGATTATGAAACCAAAACATAGTTACACTTAACACGAACAGTGTATGTATTGTATCTTGATCAGGTTGAGGTTTGGTTCAAAATGTTTAAAATATGCGTAAATAATTTATTGCAACAACTTTTGATCACAGCAAATGAATGGATTTTAATGATTTTAATGAATATATTTTTTATAGAAGATCAACTTGCTCAGAGCGGAGAAAAAATGCGGGTGGTTACGTTCCGATTACTTGTTAGACCCGCGTGGTTTCGACACGAATCCATGTTCGACCCGAGTGGTTTCGTTCCCAAGCATTTAATTAACAATTAATTGCTTCGGAACGAAATTAATTAACACTTTCAACAGCTTTACATTTTATTTTTTCGTCTACATTTTTTTTTATATCGACCACGTATATTTGTGTTAATTATCGTATGTAATTGAATTTGGAGAAACGTACGTTGTTTAGACAGTGCATATGTGATCACGGTACATTTGAAGAAGTATTTGATTAATTTTTATGGAAAACTGTTCAAATATAATTCATTATTAAATTTTATCAACATCCATGCTCCGCGATAGTAGAAAAAAATGTTAGGAAACCTTCTCACTGCATGTTGACTACACATACGGAAACGACTACCTATTGACACGCACATCTCTGAAGCCATACAATATACAGCTACCGAATATCCATTTGTTTACCTCACAGTGTATACCCCTGTACTCAGATATTGACATGTAGGGATATATATTAGAGTAGGTCGAAACCACTCGGGTTGTAACCTCGCGGGTCGAACACGGAATCGGAACGTAACCACCCACCCGACAACCGGAGAAATATATGGCAAGAAATTGGTACTGTGTTTTGAGGTCATACTTTTGTACCCTAGGGTACATCCCCTATTTATCCTTTAACAATAAGGTTACAAAAAGGTTATAGTAGAAAACCATTGAAAAATAAAAGTAGAAATTAAATTTCTGAAGGACTGTTAAGGTGACCTGGTTACAGAGGGTACAATGCTTACTCTCTCTGGAATAAATTACAGGCAAACGAGACCACAGAATTTATTTAATGATTTGATAGAATGGGCAACAAATTGGAGAGGAAATTCTTCAAATAGACCTTATTTAAAGGTGCTTGGACACAGATTTGAAGTTAATATTTTCTCAAATTTTTGGTATAATATCATGACTTATATGTTTTATAGCATTTCACATGGAAATAAAATAAAAAAATTATTTTATCTGGAAATTATTGAAACTACAAATTTCGAGACACATTTGATTGACACATCTATGCACTTTCACAAAGTAAACTTCATCCTTAATACTTAAGAAAAGTAGAAATTTTGTTGTGCATTAATGAAAAATTTTAAACTGTAATCCAGAAAAATAAAGAGTAGAAATGTGAGAAAGCAAAACCAGCTCACCAGTATTGTCAGTCCGTGCTCAGTGATATGTGCAGATCGAGTTTAACAAATTGAACACACCCGTGAAACGTACTTAAACTGTTTTTGTAAACAGGGCACGAGCTCTGTTATTGTTAATGTTTACGTTTCACTGGGTGTGTTCAATTTGTAAAACTCAGCACACATCACTGAGCACGGACTGACAATACTGGTGAGCTGGTTTTGCTTTCTTACATTTCTACTCTGAATTTTCTGGATTATAGTTTGAATATATTTCATTAATACACAACAAAAATTTTACTTTTCTTAAGTATTAAGGATAAAGTTTGCTTTAAGAAAGTGCTAGGATGTATCAATCAAACGCGTCCCGTAATTTGTAGTTTCAATAATTTCCAGATAAGATAATTTTTTATTTTATTTCTGTTTGTAATGCTATAGCAACATATAAGTCATGATATTATACCGAAAACTTGAGAAAATATTAACTTCAAATCTTTGTCCAAACACCTTTAATGTAGCAGAACATTACTTGTTATGAAAATAAAGTCTTTGAAACCTGAAACTTTTTATTTATTGAAAATAATTACATCAAAAAAGTTAAAAATCACTAGTTCATATGGTATACAAATGATATCTAATAATTTTAAGTTTTTATTTTTAAGCGCTCGCTCTTTGAAATCATGCTTTATATTCATTAAAAAAAATTATATTACCTGGTACTGGTACTCGCTTGCATCAAAATTTTTAACCCAGGGGTTGAAATATATGCTAGCCCGACGACTGGGGCTAATCATTGAAAGACTCGGGCCAGCTAATTTAAATGTAACTATAGTCCGTTGGACTAGCAGAATGGAAAAAAATTCTCATCAGTTCACTCTCTTTTCTATGTAGACTGGTTTCTTTTGACCGAGAACTAGTTTAATTTGTTTCTTTCACCAAAGTGTTTGAATCTTTAACTTATGTTTTCATTTTGCATAAAAAAATTTGAGGTTTGGGCTAGTAAATTTTTACTGATCAGTAGCCCCTGGGCTAGTGGGATTTCCAGGAAAATTTCAACCCCTGTAACCCCAAAATGAAAAATAATATTTGTAAAATTATTTCGCCCACTTGCCTGACTTTTTATTTTTGAAAATCCGAAGAACTATTTTACAAATTGGACTGTGGCCTAAACAGTAAAGTATGACTGCTTTTATTATCTATGAACTTCGGGTTTCAGGGGACCAGTTATTTTCTGCAAAATAATTTCAGTTCTGCCATTCTTGCATTACTGTTTTCACAGATTTTCATTTTTTGTCCATGCAAGCATAGCCACAAGATATACCTACATTTTCTGTTACATATCATTGTTTCAAGACCTGCCCATGCTGACCAACATGATTTTAAATGACTGCAAGAATTAATTGATGTTTTGTTTGTGGCCTATATTTAATTCTTCAATCTTCTTTCATCATACATGTACATGCACGTGTAATGGCCAAAAAAAAAAATCCTCAATCATTGCAGTAAAAAAAAGAATAATGAAAAGAAATTTATTTTATTTAGTAACTAAAATCAAAAAGCCAGACTTTAAGTCATGTATTTTATTTTTCAGTGGGAAATGGGAAACATATCCTTAGTCTTGTCTTAGTGGGAGGCTAGAAAAGAAAAAAAATGTGTGACAAATCTTAAAACTCTGAGCAGAAACAGAAGTAGGATAGATCTTCCTTTGGAGACATGAATCAAAACCCCGTTTGGAATGGTGCTTATGCTCCAATTTTGAAGAGATTTCAAGAAGTGGTCAATGCCAAAAGAACCGGTGGTAAGAAAAAACAGTATAAAGTGGTAATACTTCGACCAAAACCAAGTGGAATTCTGGAAAGTCCAAATACAGTCCCTAAACACAAAGTTAACATTAAAACATATCAAACATTGGCAAACTTTACAAACAGCAGTTTGCCTCAAAATTTATCTTCACTTACATCTGATGGTGCAAATCATTCACCACCTGCTACTGACATTAAATCAGAGATTTGTGAAGATAATTTAGAACCTTCAAAGATTGTTTCAGGCTCATGTGATGATGATCCAGAAAAAAATTCTCAGAATTATCCAGCATTTCAGATCTTCTCTACCTCTACACCAGGAGAAGAAATACCTCCAGTTTCCCAAGAGATAAAATCAGAGGTTTGTGAAACAGATCCATCATCTTCACTATATTCACAGCCTGCACCTGTGCCATGCAGGGAGCTCGAGAGAAATTCTGAAAATTATACTCCATCTGGCCCACCTCCATATTTTACACTTCACACATCAACACCTAAAGTCTCCACAATTTCTGAAGTCCTCAAGTCTGAGACTGGTGAAGAGGATCTAGAATCTGCACAGCTCACAACTTTTTCAACTGTTAAACAAGAATTGGCCATGGAGAACTGTATTTCAAATGATAAATCTTTAGATTTCTCTCAAGATGTCTATAGTGGAAAAGAAGTATCAGAAATTCCCAGAGAAATCAAACCAGAGGTTTATATTGAAAATTTAGAGTTTTCACCACATCCCGAATATCCTTCTGTTTCAACCTTAGAAAAAGGCAGATTTTCTGCTGAGAACTATACCTATACTGCTGAACCTTCTGATTTCAATTACCACAGCTCTTCTCTACCTTTTCACATACCTGAAGAGAATGGAACAGAAACTTCTTCAACAGTCAGTGCAATCAAAGATGAGGACTACTCAGTATTTAATCAGACATCACAGGTCCAAAATTCAGAACACAGAAGTACATCAGATGAATTAATATTGACTGAACATCTTGTTCCAGTAACATTTAAACCTGCAATTACTGATCAAATAGAATCATTCCAGAGAGAACCTGGTCATACAACTGGACATGCTATGGTAAGACTTTTCATTTATAATACAATATTTTTGAATAAATGCCACTCTTTGTATATCCTTGTTTGATAATTTGATGAAAAAAGTATTCCAAGCCAGGTCACAAGCTTGCTTGATTTGATCATGCAGAACTAGCAATCTTTAAATGACTTGATTTGTAAATTTTTTGCAATGAAAAATGAACAAAATATTATCATTCACAACAGATTTTCATGATCTAGTGATTGAATTAAAATAGAATTGCTAGTATTAAAGAGAGATTTTTGTATTCAAATGAGAGGCCCATCGCAAACTTGACAGCAAACATTAAAAAGCTTTTTAAATATAATCTTCAATATTACTTTAATCCAAAAATTGAATAATTTCATTTGCAGGATGCAACCAACGTGCAACCAATATGCAAGTCCCTAGATGAATTTATGCTGACAGCAAAGTTTTTTAAATGTGGATTGTGTGATTCAGCATATAGGGAATTCCATGAATTGGGGAAGCATTTTAGGGCCAAACACACACGAACATGTCTTGTTTGTTCAAAACCTGTACCCCTATTGACGGACATGCAAACTCACTTAACTCATTGTCAACCAACTCAGCAAGGTCCTTTATTTGCGAATTGCCAAATATGTTCAAAGCAAGTAAGAGACAAGTCACTAGGCATACACTATAGGGTTCATGGACTCAGGCCTCAGGAGATAGTATTTAGATGTGATACATGTGGTAGGGATTTCCCATTTTGGAAAAGAAACAGTGATTGTGTGCACTTAGATGGTCAACCTTCCACCAGCAGAAAAATGATTTTAAATTGCTGTTTCTGTAAAACCCAGTTTGAGGAATTGCAGCCATTTCAAGACCACTTGAAAGAAGTTCACGCAGTAAATGGGCCAGAAATATTCCCTTGCAATATATGTTCAAAGATTTATAGTCGTCAATGTTATTTACAGAGGCACCTGGAGTGCCATGAAAGAAGAAGGCAACGCTTGATCGAACGGGAAATACAGCGTGAGATCGAACGGAAAAGGTGTCGTGAATATCAGAAGCGTCTAAAGGCTCTGAAGAAACGTGATAAAAGCAAGCTCAGGAGGTGTACTGTTTGTAAGAAATTTGTCATTCAAGCAAGGAAGATTTCAGATCACCAAGAAAAAGATATGCTCCAAAGCAAAGAACATAGGGAGGTAAACAATCTCAATTTTATGTGCACAAAATGTAAGGAACGAGCTAAGTTTAAATTAACTCTGTTGAAATATAGGATGGTCCAAAAAGTCCACAGATGTCAGGTTTGTTCAAGGACATTTGTTACGTTCTTTCACTTGACATCACATATGAATAGTCACGTGTCCAGCACAGAAAAGACCTGTGTTATCTGTTGGAAGACATTTAGTCAAAACAGAAATCTAAGGCTTCACATGAAAAGTCATGCAGTTTTTCACAGGTTTTCTTGTAAATTGTGTAGGAGAAAATTCACTTATCGCCATCAGCTTAACATCCATAATCAATTACATTACAACCCAGCACTTTTCTGTTATGTCTGTTGCCAGGACTTTGATAAACTTTACCGATTTGTTGTTCACAAGAAAAAGGATCCTAAAATGCACAAAAGGAAATCCTATCCAAAGGAAAAAAACCTTCACACTATGAATCCTGGAAACCAGACAGCATCTTATAAGTGTGTTGTCTGTAAGGAAGAATTTAGGTACAAGAAATGGTTAGACTATCATCAAATGACAACTCTGGACTTGAAGCACAATAGATTTTGCTTTGTGTGTGGAAAAATGTTCAAACTACCACGAATGTTGAGAAAGCATATGAAAACTCACCCAAAAGAGCCAGAAAAATTAAGAAAATCTTTCCTTTGCCACATCTGTGGTAAGCTTTTCATGCAAAGAACAAATCTGTGTTCCCATATAAAGTCCCACACTGTGAAAGAAATTAAAAACCCTGGAACACAAACGAGGTCCCCAGACAGAAGTTCTGTGTATGAGTGTGGTCTCTGTATCAGGGTGTTTTCTAGGAAGAAAGAGATGTTGATGCACAGAAAGGTACACGAAAGACTTGTCAGTCACAAATGTGAAGTTTGCAGTGCTGTGTTTGCCAGTCTGTCTGCGTTGAGCCACCACAGGCATAAAGTACATCATATTGAATTTAAGCGAATTTGTTAATCAGCAATGCATACGTGAAAAACTGAATTTAAGGGGAAATACATTTTTATTTAAAAAATGGACATATAGATGCTAAATGAGTACAAATTAGTATACATTAATGTCAACATATTGATCACTGTTAATTATTGGAAATATATCCTTATATATTACAATACAATATAGTAGAACCAATGACAGCTTTTGTTCTTTTAAAATGTATTGAAAAATCAAGGTAGTTAGAGAAGAGTTTATTGAAAGTTGAGGTTTAAAGCTGAGTTGAACATTTTACTACAGCAAAGGAGAGTACAGGGCATCATGGTTTATCAAGGTTAAGGATTAATATCTGAGGTCAACTTATCACTTAAAGAGCAAAGCAAAGGCGGATCCAACGCCGGCCCACCAGGCATGCGCCCCCCCCCCTTTTGAATTTTTTTGTTGAAATTTTGTTTGTATAGCAAGCATATACCTTCAGTTTAGTCCAGTTTAGTACATAAGTTGATAAAATGATACTACTGCCCTCCCCCCTTCCATGAAATTCCTGGATTCGCCACTGCAAAGGAGAATTATGGAAGTTTATGAAGGTTAAGGATGATGTTTACTCATGGATTTAGTTGACAGAAATGGATTGTTATAACGTACACTTAAATCATTTGCTGTAAATTGAGAAAATAAACCAAAATCAATATAAAATTGTATTGCTTATTATTTAACAAAAAATATGCTAGAACAATGGTAAATATATTGTGATGCAAAGGAAAATTGGATTATTTTTTAATGTTCACTATTGCACATGTCACAGGGTGAATAAATTATTATTCTGATAAATATTATATGTATGATTAAATATTTAATGACCTAATCACTAATCATCATTTCATTATCTTCATCATCATTTTCATCTATAAAGCATAGTGAATTACAGTCCTTTGGAATTTACTATGTGTTCATTCATAAAATATCTCATTCATATTCATGGGGTTGAATGCTCATTGGTGGATTTAGGAGTGTGAAAGGTCAAAGGTGTTTGTGTCAGAATGGGTGAGGCTTGGAGTTGTATGATTGGTTGATATTTTAGAGTGAGAAGTGTGTGAGTGGTTTTACTAGTTTGGTATTAGGTGCGCATGCTTGGCGCCAAATACCCCAACTAATTCACTCCACCCTAGGACAGCCAGGAGTAAGGAAGAATTCCTCTCCTACTCCACTAAGTCTATCATTTTATAATGTGGACAAATCAACTGCCTATTCGGTAAGAACTTTTACCACCGTTGCTTTGAATAAATTAAATATCTTATCAAATAATTATCTACTTAAAGATAATTACATTGGAAAAGTTAAAATATATTAAAGTAATTTAATGTGTGAATGTATAGGTATGAGAGTGTATTCATTTATTTTCATTACTGTTATTTGTTACAGGTCACCTTTTTAGTCTTACCATGAAATTGAAAAATATATAAATCGAACCCAACAGCTGTTTTCATTGTTATTATTAAAAAGGAGTAGCAAAATAAATTACGGCTGTGACACACAATTTTTCTTTTCTTGAGATATTATTCTGTAGGTCACAGTGACCTACATTTTGAATTTTACAGGTATTAACTCAAATGGTTTAAGATGCTTATGTTGGATACTGAATTTTATGATCATCAAACCTTGAGAGATGCATCCTAAGCTCTTGGAGTATATCAACCGAAAGTAGGCCACATTGACCTACTTTTAAAATTTCTTATCTAGTAAATATTTTGGATAAGAGGCCGAGAGAATCATCAAACCTTGTCAGTTGAAGCATCTTAGGTCTAATAGAGTATTTAAATATTTTTGGATAAAAAGATATTTAAAATTTTATTTTTTCAGTTGATACATCTTAGTCAACAGACAGTATCAATTAGATGTAGGCCAGAGTAACCTACCCTTGGAATTTCTAGTTGTATCTCAATATTTAGAGTACAAAGAGCCTTGAAATCATTTGGGTCCATGTACTATTTCAACCAAAAAGTAGGTAACTTTGACCTACTTTTGGGATTTCATTTTTGTATCGGCATATTTCAGATCATAATTAAGAGGTTAAGAATCAATTAACCTTGTCATTTGATGCATCTTGGGCTCTTGAGTGTGATATCAATTTGAAAAAGCATGCAACGGTATTTCAAGGCTTCAACTAAATATGAAACTGAGTGGCCTAGAATTAAAAAGACAGGGTACATTGTACAATTCATCAAAAGAGTGATTCTAAGCCATAGGGCCTGTTACATTAGGAGAGATATATTGCATCTTCATTTATTTTCTCTCATTTTGATGTGGACATCAAATTTATTAAATACCATATACTGTATACAGGAAAATTTTTGCCCCTTTTTAATTTTCACCCTGCACAGTTGGGCAAATTCAAAAAACAGTATAATTTGTGAAACAGAATTGTGACTGAGGGAATTAAAATGGGGCAAAATTGTTTGCAAGTGTGAGAGGGCAAAAATAATACGAGGCAAAAATAACCCTGTATACACTAGCAGGAAATTTTAATGGGGTGCTAACTGGCTTATTTTAGCAGTTTTGAAGTAGCCCACTAATAGTTTATTCGCTAAATTTGCACTTTGCACCCTTGCAAATAAGTATCGAATTGTAGAAACATAACTTTGGTCAGTCTGTTGTTAAGCATATCTTTCATCTGGTGTTGGTTTTTACTCAAACTCTTGCCTATATCAGTATTCAAATGTATATTACACATACTGAAAACTCACTAGTAAGAAACAAACTTCCTTTTTTTAACAACATCTTGGAGCTGTGTGTCTGCCAAAATTATAAGCATACCTTTGAGCAAAAAAAAAAAAAAAAAACAAAAAACATAGGTAATCAGAGATTACAGAGCTCACCTCAACAAATGTTGTCTTTAAGTAAGGCAAAGTCCCACACTAAACAAATAACCTTGGAGTGTGCATTCCTAGATGCATCATTTATGCAATTTTGGTCTGATAGGGCTTGCAGTTACTTCGGAATAGACTTATCTGAAAACTTAAAACTAGTCACTCATCCAGAAAATGCAAGTCAAATCCGGTATCCGAAGCAAGTTAACTTTGAGATTGTTCGTCCCTTGGTGCATCATCCATGCAAGTTTGGTTCAGATAGGCCTTATAGTTACTTGGAAATGAGATCTGCTCCAGAAACTTTAACCTGGTCACTCATCTGGAAAATGTAGGTCAGATCCAGCATCTGAAGCAAGTCCAGTTGTGTGAATCCTTAGATGTATCATCCTTGCAAGTTTGGTCAATATAGGGATTATAGTTACTTGGAAATGACATCTGCTCCAAAAACTTTAACCTGGTCACTCATCCGGAAAATGTAGGTCAGATCCAGCATCCGAAGCAACTCAAGTAGTGTGCATCCTTAGATGTATCATCCATGCAAGTTTAGTCAATATAGGGCTTATAGTTACTTAGAAATGAGATCTGCTGCAGAAACTTTAACCTGGTTCCTCATCTGAAAAATGTAGGTCAGATCCAGCATCTGAAGCAAGTCAAATAGTGTGAATCCTTAGATCTATCATCCATGCAAGTATGGTCAATATAGGGTTTATTCATACTTGGAAATGACATCTGCTCCAAAAACTTTAACCTGGTCACTCATCCAGAAAAAATATAGGTCAGATTCAGCATCCGAAGCAAGTCCAGTAGTGTGCATCCTTAGATGTATCATCCATGCAAGTTTGGTCAATATAGGGCTTATAATTACTTGGAAATGAGACCTGTTCCAAAAAACTTTAACCTGCTCCAAAAACTTTAACCTGCTCCAAAAACATAAACCTGGTCATTCTTTAGCTGAAATTGCAGCATCTGAAACCTTGACTGGTACAATGAAACACACTAGAAGCATCCTCCATGCATCTCTGACTAATATAGGCCATAGAAGTACTTGAAAAGAAAACTGCTCCAAAAACCTTAACCTGGGACACCAACGCTAAGGGTATTACATAAGCTCCCCCAACTTCGGTGAGGTGAGCTAAAAATGCCAAATTTCACACACTTGAATCTACACTACCTGAGGATGCTTCTATATAAATATGACTAAACAGGGCTCTGCTGTTCTTGAGAAAAAGATTTTTTCCTATATTCCTGTGAAAAACATTGATCCCCCCCATTGTGGCCCACCCTACCCCCAGAGGTAATGCTTTGAACGAACTTGAATCTACATGACCTGAGGATGCTTCCATATAAATATGACTAATCATGGCTTTGCCCCTCTTCATCATATTTTTTCTTGTATATATATTCCTATGTAAAACTTTGATCCCCCCACTATGGCCTCACCCTACCCCCGGGGGTTATGATTTGAACAAACTGGAATCTACACTACCTGAAATGCTTCCATATATGGCTTTTCTGTTCTTGAGAAGAAGATTTTTAAAGATTTTTCCTATGTATTCCTATGTGAAACTTTTACCCTCCCCCCATTGTAGCCCACCCTAGCCCCTGGGGTCATGATTTGAACAAACTTATTTAAATCTACACTATCTAAAGAAAGATTCCTTTAAGTTTCAATATTTTTGGCCCAGTGGTTCTTGGGAAGATTTTTTAAAACATGTCACCAAATTTTCACTATTTCTGAATTATCTTCCCTTGAATGAGGGCATGGCCCTTCATTTGAATCCCCATCACCCAAGGATACTTTGTGGCAAGTTTGGTTGAAAATGGCCCTGTGGTTCTTTAAAAGAAGTTGAAAATGTGAAAAGTTTACAGACAAACAGACAGACAGACTACACATACAGACAAAATGTGATCAGAAAAGCTCACTTGAGCTTTCAGCTCAGGTAGCTTTCAGCTCAGGTGAGCCAAAAATCTCACATGCTTTACGCTCAGATGAGCTAAAAATCGTAACCATATTTAGCATGGACTCTTCATTTCACAGAAACACAACACTAATGCTCCTCTTTATTTTTATTCACTATTATTTTATGCTAAAAAATATAGTATTCAATACCAATATTTCAACAACCAAAAAGATACAATGGTTATGAAATAATTATACATGGCACTGTTCATCTTGGGGTCTCATCACCTTATGTAGAATATATTCTGCTTTCATTTCTTTTCAAAAGTCTTCTTGAATTTTCCCCAATTCTGCACATGTTTTTTCCAAACATTTCATTTTCCTGTCCTTGTCATCCATTTCTCCTCTCAAAAGATCCAGTAGCATATCTTTCATTAACATGTCAATGCATTCATTCACAAATTTTGAGCTGTATTCAAGGTCTTATTAACACAAAAAAGCGAAATGTGTTGCTAATCCAGAAGCAAGTGTAAACTTCCAAGTCTACAGAGCAAACCAAGATGAAACATTGTATCCATAATTTCTTCTCGATCTTTTCTAACTAAGAAGTTGTAAGGCTTTGAGTAGCGGATTACACTTCTCTCATTTTCCACTGAATGACCATGTGCTAAGTTTGATAAATGCTCTCTGTCCAACTTCAAACACGTGAAAATGATCTGCAATATTGATATAACCATATTTTATTTATCTTATACATGTACAAGTAAATGTGAAAAAAATACTTTACATGGATTGATTTCAGTATGTTTCATACATTGGCATCATAAGAACTTGTTTGTACACTGAGCCTTTCCAATGGCATGACTTATCATGCCATTGCCGTTCTTGAGAATAAGATTTTTGAAATATTTTTCCTATGTTTTACAATGTCAACCTTTGATTGCCCACTGATGCCCCACTCAACTGCCAAGAAGCTGATTTTACATAAGTTTCGTATTTTCTAACCCAGTGGGTTTTCTTAAATGACCTTATAGGACACCCACCCTATTTTTGCCTTTTTTAATTATCCCCCCTTGCATGAGGATGAAGTTCAAAATGTGAAAATGTGAATAGTAAACAAAAGACATATGGCCAACTGACAAAATTTAATCAGAAAAGTACATTGAGCCTTTCCAGCATTGATATTAAAATTACTAACCATGTTCTTAATACAAATTATTCCTAAATTTGTATCTTGTAAAGCAGACTTTTTCCATTCCACTAAGAGCTCTCCTCCATGCCGCCCTAACAAGCTTTCTACAGACTGGCCTGTAAACTTCAATTTTCTGATATTGAAATCAGCGGTAGTTTTTTCTTCATGTGAAAGCGACCACCTCTTCACCTGAAATTAGATTTTTAATGTACTTAGTTTTAAAATCTACAAATTTAATTATTAACTAGAAGTCTATGATGACACTGTAGCTCTACTTATTTGTAATGAAAATAAAGGAAAACAGTTTACAAGCACCTGCACTTGAAAAAAAAAAAATCTTAGTTAGATAGTACAGAATCATGCAGCCTGATGCTTTTAATCTTGAAACAATTGCAAGTTTTGACATCAAATGAAAAGTAGGCATAGCAGTTTGATAGATATTTTCACATAATTTATCCTTTTTTAGCTGGGTTCAATTCTCAGAGAGCGTTAACTCCCTACTGTCACTGTGTGTCAACTGGATATGCTGACTGCACCACTGCCAAATTAGATTTACAAAATACAGTCAAACCTCATCATATCTAACCCGAGAAAAAACTTCTAGATATCCGAGGATTGGAGATATCGAGGGTAAAATACTTAAAGAATAAGTAGTTGGGAATTCGATCCAAATCACTTTGACATAATCATGTTCTTCGAGATATCAGTGTTAAAGATACCAAAGTTCAACTGTTTATAAACATGTAGTACAGTACTTACCGTAATACATTTACAGTATACATTAATCAAAATTATAATTGTTAACAGATACCATTTAGAACTTTTATACTAACCTCTCCAACAGTCACTGTCAGTAGAGATGAATTACTTTTAAAACCACTGTGACATTCCCCCTGCAACCTGTATCTCAGATCGGGAACACTTGTTGTAACTACTCCATCAAGCATCATTTGCATTTTCGGCAAAGCATCTCCTCTCCTGCAAAATTTGAATTGTCTCCCTTACTTCGTTTAATAAAAATACCATTTTTTTTTTTAGAATTTGATAAATAAGAAATGATATTCAGAAGATGTCTCATAAAATAAAATATGCTTCAAGATATTTTTTTTTCTCTCACGATAAAATTATTAAATGTAATTTGTCATGAAATGTTCCCCCCCCCCCCCATAAAAAAACTCTTTTGTAATGAAAGCAATACAACAAAAGATAGAAAAACATGTCCTTGAATTTTGTTATTTGAAAGCTGTTCATTTAAACATGCAACAAAGAAAGATTTGCTATTCTAAGCAGCTTAACAATACAAAGCTCACCTTGACACCGCTATCTACCGTATAAGGCAAAGCCTCACTTCACACCAAATAAATGTTCTAGTGGTGTTCATCCCCAGAGGATACATTGTACATCAGTCTTTGCAAGTTTGGTTAGGGTAGGATTGATAGTTCATTGGGAATGGACCTGCCTGAAAAGCTATAATCTGGTCAACTATCCCAAAAATGTAGGACAAATCCAGCATCAGAAGCAAGTCTGGTAGTGTGCATCCTTAGATGTATTGATGTATCACCCATGATAGCTTGTTCATCAAAGGGCTTACAATTATTTGGAATGAAACTTGCTCCAACTAAAGGTACAATGAACAAGCTCATAAAATAGTACCCCCCCCCCCCCCCCAACTTGACCTTGGTTAAAAAAATGACACATCCTATGGTCATGAATATTCTTTTAGAAAATTATGGAATAGTTGTTGACTAGGTGTTACCTTAATAACCTCCCCCACCCCTCCCCCCAAAAAAATCATTTGCTGGGGATAAAAAAAACTTTATTCATCCCAAAACTGAAGGTCAGATCCAGCATCAGAAGCAAGCCTGGTAGTGTGCATCTCTAGAAGCATCATCCATGCAAGTTTAATCTGTCACCATAGGGCTTATAGTTACTTTGGAATAAGATCTGTTCAAAAACATTAAGCTATAACCTTTTCACAAAATGTTTTACTGTAAGTATCATTGTAAGAGACAACTTATTTTGTTTGTGGCCCTTTTACATGTAAATAAACATGAATCCCACTCACCCAAGGATGCTTTGTGACAAGTTTGGTTTAAGTGGCAAACTTTGACCAACTGACTCCATTTTTTTTTACTCCAGAAACCACTTTAACACATTGCAAGGAACAATCCTTAATAGTTTCAGAATTGATTGGCTGAGAATTTACTGAGAAACAAGAGGCCCAAGGGCCTTGATGGTCACTTGAGTATAATACAATAATGTTGAGGGTCCATAGTATAAATTAAACAAAATAAACTGAAAGATGAAGGTATCTTGCGCAAAAGTAAAAGAAATAGGATGATCAGGGATCAACAAGATAGTTATTCAAGTAATCAGTAACAATGTAGATCTATTTACTTGCCTGTACTCGCAAACAAAACAATTACAAGTGCTTGAGCACATTTAGTAAACCCATCACATACCTTTTCACAGTGGCCTCTCTTGGTCATTGAAAAACATTTAACATACAGTAAAACTCGGTTATAGCAAAGTTCTAGGGACCTGAAAATTTACTTTGCTATATCTGTAATTTGTTATATTCGTTTAACGAATTCCTTAAAGTATATATAGGAAATTTGCAATATAGATTTTTTTCATTCAAATATGACTACCAATTGTATTTAGGGAAGTATAAAATACAAAATTTACCTTGAAGTTCAAAAGTTTTAGTATATTCAATCGAGTTTCAAATATCAATACTTACACAATTAATGTCAATTCAATATATTAAAAATTAAGATCTTTGAAAATTCGCTAGACGTCAATTTCTTTATTTTTTTTACTTCTAGGGGACACAAAATCAGTTCCCTATAACCCTAATTTCGCTAAATCCGAGGTCATTATAACGTTACCGTATATTTTTGCAAGGAATTGTTGAGAATTTTTGGGGATTGCAATAAACTTTGCTGTATCCATAAATTCGCTATATCCATGTTCATACTAAACGAGTTTTACTGCATATGATCTCTTATTGTGGCACCATCCTACCCCCAGGGATCATATTTGAACAAATTTGAATCTACACTATGTAATGAAGATTTCACAGAAGTTTTATCTTTTCTGGCACAGTGGTTCTTGAGAAGATTTCTTAAAAACATCTTTAAATTTTATTAATTCTTAATTATCTCCCTTTGAAAGAGGGCATGGTCCTTCATTTGAGCAAACTTGAATTCCTTTCACACAACTTTGGTTGAAATTGGCTGAATGGTTCTTGAGAAGTTAAAAATGTGAAAGGTTTACAGAAGGACACCAAAAAATGTTATCAGAGAAGCTCACTAGAGATTTCAGTTCAGGTGAGCTAAAAAGAAACGATTACAAGATATATGCCTCAAAAGTGTTTAACTAAATCAAGCATAGCACAAACTCACATAGCATTCAACAGGAATATCTTGCTGAAGAATATTAGAAGCTGACTGAATTCCCCTTCCACTCCACATCTTCCATGAGATCTCAATTCTTTTATTAGGTCGGAATAATACTCAACATACTCCAAAATACCAGTATGCCAAATGCTAAAAATGTGCCTGTAAAAATATAAACCATTTTACATTAAGTCATGAATAACGTATATGTAAATATAGTATGAACATGATGAAATGCAGGATTCAATGAATTTTCCTTAGGTTGATACTGAATTGAGTATAAATATTTGTTTTCAATTAGTCTGTTCTTCTTCATTGTCACAAGCCACAGGTTTCGTGTCCATTCTATTTCCCCAAATAGAATGGACACAAAACCTGTGGCTTGCGACTATGGATTTCATCTGGGCTGACTATCTTTCATGTAAAACACACCAAAATTATATCAGTCTGTGGTGAAACTCTTGACCACTCATGATGAATTATAGTACTGTAACAGTTACTTTACACTAACAGTGTTTTCCCTAAGAACCGGCTACCCGCCGAATTGAATTGAAGTGGTCAATTTGGCCAGTACCCGGTTCTTAGGGGCTTCAATTGATAAAAGTGCCACTTCGGAATAAAAAATGTATAAAATTTAAAAAATCAAAATTAGATTGTTGTAAGGTCCACAGAGATTTGTCATAAAATTCAACCCAAAGAGTGCGTTCAGAGTACTACTGTTGGCTGACAAAAGTTACCACTGGTAGAATTTCTTACCATTGGTATGCCAATGGTACATGTACCAATGTTTGCCCACAAAATTTACCATGGGTAGACTATTCTGCAGACAAAGTAGAGCTCTGTTAGCAATGGTAACTTATTTAATGACGTCAAAAAAATGGTGGGTACTGATCAAGTCGGTCCTGCTAAACAGAGAACACAAGAGAAATCTAGGTTCATTTAGTAAATTCAAATAAATTTTATGCATAATTGAGTTCATTTTTACTTTATAAATTGTTTTCTATCTATAAAATCAATAACATAATTATTTTATGAAAGTTTTATACATAAACTCTGTGTAATATATATAGGTATGGTACGTCTTTTTAAAACTTGGTTTTTCTTGACTGAAAGTGTCAGAATCTTTATATATTTTAACAATTTTTAAGTGTACATGTATTTAAAGTACATTAAAAATTTTTTATTAATTTATTTAACAATCCCGAAGACAAGCCCCTACGGTTTTGCAGGTGGGGAGAAGTACTTTACTATACAAAAAATGTATTTCTGAATGCATTCTCTTGCTACAAAATCATGCACGAAGCAACAATATATCTTGGTTTGACATTTTCCTTAATAAATAATCAGCCAATGTTTAACAATGGTACATCAATGACACCAATGGTGCCATTGTTAACATTGGTCAGTTTCCCACCAACTGTACCCAAAAACTCGTTCAGAGTACATATGGGTCCAATGGCACCAATGGTACAAATTAGTACCATTGGCAAACAGGTGATGGTACCACTGAAGATACTCTGAACGCACCCAAAGTCTGTTACGATTGATCTCTATCCCTTTACTTTGAAATAAAGGGAAAACACTGCACTACAACTCAGCCACAGCGAAGTCATGGGGACCTGTGAATTTACCTCACTATTTCCATGATTCCTTGTAACAGTATAATGAATTCCTTAAGGTAAATATATCCAATATTTGCAATATGCATTTTTTTTCTTCAAGTATGACTACCAATATGTTCTGGGAAGTATTAAATTACAAAACTTACCTTGGATTACTAATGTTTTCCTATATTAAATTATATTTTAAACAAAATTACTTACAAATTATTTTTTAGATGTTGAGATCTTTAAAAATTTCTTGCAAAAGATGTAAATATATATGACTATAACCTTCAGAGTTCGCTATTGTATCTGTAAAGTCATCACAACAGCTAGAGCCAGCTAGTTCATTATAACCATAAAGTTTAACAAAGAATTGTTAAGAATTTTGCCAAGGATACCAAATCACTTCCCTATATCTGTTAATTGCCATATCCATTGCAGCATTAATTGATGTTTTCATGCCTGACCTCTAAAATCGGTAGCTCTGGTGTCGGGCAATGGTAATTGCACACCCCTTATCCCATAAAAAAATTTCACCCCATATCTTGTTTTGTCCAATTGCACACATAGCTATTGTCTTTGATTACAGAAACCTTGTCCTTAAAGAAAAGAAAATTGTGAGATGGAATGCTGTTTACAACAATAAAGGGCAATTTGATGCACTACGTTATTTATTTTCCTTTCTGTACACAATAACGTACATGTAACTGCATGGTCTGACAAAACTTCATCCAGTACAACAAAACTTTTAACTGTGTCAGAACAAATGTCTGACAGTAATTTAAGAATTTTGACAACTCTGTTATATATAAAATACCCCCACCCCCATCTGCCCCAGTGAAATATGGAACAAAGAGTGAAAGGATATCAATGAAATACTACCAGGAGAGATAATCCATTGATGATGCAGATCCTTTCATTACCATTTCCTCTTTTATTTTTGCTATTGCTTGCAAACATTTTTCGGTTTCTTTCACAACAACAAATCGACTCATTGAATCAATTTCAGAAAATTCTTCATCTGCATCTAAGCTATGCATGCAACTTTTCGTTGATTCCACCAGAAATTCCTTTATCTCAAGAAGTTTAGACCACAACGTAGCATGATCTTTGATACCTAGTACCAAATACAAGTCTTTCAGGGCTGATTCATATAACTCAGATAATTCTGTTGCTTTTTCGTCATAAAAGATTCCAAAAGATTCTAATTTACAAATATCCCATTCTGAAACATGGTCTTCAGCAAACCTCCCAAATTTCACTCCGGAGGTGTAACTGTCGTCGCTTGAGTTTGATCTTCCCCTTTTCCGCATTAGTTCTGATGCTGAAGGGGATGCGCATGGTGATAAAAGGAAGTTGGAAGAATTAGATGAATCTGAAGAATTAGATGAATCGTCCATCCAATTTTTCTGGCGAATTATACAAATAGAATTTTCGGAATCTCGATCCCGAGTAGATATGGCAAGAAATGAACATACTTGAAAGTCGGGACTTATTTCTTGCCATATATGATCCCGAGTACTGCTGTTTTCACGAATTACGTCTTCAGGACGTGTTTGCGTGATATTTTGCCCGTAGAACGCGGGGGGGGGAGGCTATTTTGCTATGTAGTAAATTTTCCTCTAGATGCTGATCCCCCCCCCCCCCCCCCACACACACTTTTTGTTGTTGCAAGGTCGAGTACAGGCAAATTAAAGGATTTGGACAGTAAATTAGCTTCTTTTTTTGGGGGGCTTGTCAGGTAATTTTGGGAAGTTGCCCCCACCCCCCCCCCCTTTCACTTTTGGTCAGTTTAGGGGTTTTTTTTCAGATTTTTTGGGGAAGTCCAAAGTTGCCCCCACCCCCAACTTTTGAAACCATTGCTAGGGGCCTGTATTAAAACATTCAAAGCCACCGGCCCAAAGTATATATATTTTAAGTCACATGTATTTACATAATCACATATATTTACATAGTTGAGTTCAAACATAAAGCATAATATAACATATGTTCATCTTTACAATTCTTGTATTTTACAAGTATAACATGACTAATAAATATCAATCTTCATGAGACTCCATAAAAATGTCTCTTCTTTCAAAATCTAGAAAAAAAAATGTCTAAGCACTGAAGATACTTGTTTCCCCATACTGAAATAAATTTTCTTATTTCCTAAAAGAAATAGAGGATATTCAATGTTTTGTAGATGAATATGGAATTTATTTCACGAGTGGGACAGGATTTTTTGATATTTTCACGAGTGCGAAGCACGAGTGAAAATATCAAAAAATCCTGTCTCACGAGTGAAATAAATTCCATATTCATCTACAAAACATTGAATTTTCTGTTTATTACATTTTTTTTTTTTTTTGATTTTCCCTTTGCTTCTGTCTTTTCTTAATACAGTGTCATACATGTAGCTAGGCTTGACGTTATAGTTGAGCGGTTGAGACGTCATAGCTTAGCAGTTGTGAGATTGAAAACATTACATAGCATGGATTTTAACAACATATTTGGGAAGAAAAATGCAGTTTTAGCTCTATCAAGATGTTAGTTACTATCTCTATCTTATGACAGGCCAGAAATTATTTTTTACTTACTTTGATATCCTTTCACAATGTGAGAGAATATCATTTTGGTATTCTTTCACACTGTGAGAGAATATCACTTTTATTCAATAAATAAATCACAGTATTTCACTGTTAAAAATGTAATAAAGAGATATATTTTGATATTTGACAGCTTTTTCTAATATCATCTTAAATCTAAATCACAACATTTGATAAAGTGGACTACATTTTCAATATACAAAGAATACCTTTTCTATTAAATTGGACAAAATTTCATATTCTGTCATTTCTCGGAATATTTCTGTCTTATTCTATTAATTTCCACATAATGACAGGATACTCTTTATCTGCTCAAGGCTAACCTATAACTTTTATAATTTACAATATTCATGTATCGCACTGGTTCAAGGAGGGTTCTAAATGTACTTTAAATAAAATTCATGTTTAGTGTAAGTATTCAACATAGTGTGCCACTCATGCATATCTCCGGCCCTTTGTACGAACCCTCATTAAAATAAAGATACATTTCCAGCACCTTCAATTTCATGCAGTATCCAATTCGAAACATATTGGAAATCATACACAATGTACCTATACAACAAATTTCTTACCCCTATTGCCCATTTTCCCTTTGTTTTTCCAAGTGGCAACATCATTTCATGTGTCGTTTACCGATTTTTATTTGAAAATTAAAATAAGTACATCGTGTACTTATTTGTGTACTTATTTTAATTTTCAAATAAAAATCAGTGAACGACCCAGGTACATGTACTCATCATGCGCGGATCGAGAGGGGGGGGGGGGTCGGGACCCCCCTCCTCCCCTAGAAAACGTGGACCCCACCATCACCACCACAAAATAGGTGTTTTTCACGTTTGGGAAATGGATTTTAGGTTTGTTTGTTTGGTTTGTTTTATTTTATTTTTTTTGATTGTCAAGAAATATTTGGGTTGGAAATTTTTTTTGCTGGGGTGGACCCCCTGGAAAAAAATCCTGGATCTGCGCCTGCTCATGTGTTTCTTTTCATCTTAGTTCAGTCAGAGGTTAATCAAAATTTCCACATGCTTTTTTAATACACTGTATGTTTTCTATAATTTGTTTGTGCATGTAGTATACAAGTCATGAATCCCCATGCACAAATATAGAGGTAGGGTGGGTTCTGGGGGTCCGGAACCCCCCCCCCCCCTTGAATTTGCAAAGTTATTGAATTTACATACTAGTCTAAAGCAACTAATAGTGACCTTGGACACTCCTGAGTTGATGTCTAGGTACTCAGTTTACCTTCCTTGACTTTATGATGGCATTATTTAACATCAGTAGCGAAGTGTGAGTCACTTCAGAAAAATTCGTCCAAATTACTCTAAAACTAAATGTAGTACTACAAGTTCTACATTTGTATCTCTATGTCTTGCCAACTATTTTTTTTCATCAAGTTCTGTAGCTAAGTTGCTTGTAAATAAGATGTCAATCAGAAAGCAGAATGTTTTTTTTTTCCAGTTCATTCACGCAAGTCATCTATTAGGTCTTTCCTGGGAAGTACATGTATATACTGTCATCCCTGGTCTTTCACATTCGTACTGATTTCCATTTTCTTTAAGTAATTGGTTATCCTCAATGTCAACTTGCAACTCTAGATCTTACTCATTGAATTGAACATATTTTATTGACAGTCAAAAGGATTAGACACAAGTTCAAAAACTTAGATAGTAGTCTTCTCCTAATACAACATTTTGTAAAATTACCAAAATAAAATACATGTATATATAGATGGTCTACTACATATACATAGTAGTAATAGAAAGAAAACAAGCATTCTGAGAGTATTGCATTAGCAATACTAGTCCCCTACCGGCAAGTGTAATCTGGTTCCGTTCCCGTTAAGAATTGAAAATGCCATAATTCCGTCAAAAATTAATGAAGCAGGACGAAATGCAAACTTGATCTATAACTAATCAAGGTAAAGCCACATACCAAAAATCAGCTCAATATTTACAAGCGTTTAGAAGAAAATTGCGGAAAACCCGTAAAAATTGAAAAGACCGTAATTTCGTCAAAAATCAATGAAGTGGAACGAAATGCAAACTTGATCTGTAACTCATCAAGATACAGTCACATACCAAAAATCAGCTCAATATCTGCAAGCGTTTAGGAAAAAAGTGCGGAAAACCAAGTGGGACAGACTGACAAACAGACAGAGGGACAGCTAGACAGACGGACGGACAGACTCAGAGGAAACCTATAGTCCCCTCCGGTTTCACCGGTAGGGGACTAATAAGATCTTTAAATGTACAAATATAGATTTACAATGGGAAAAAATTAAGCTATTTTTTGAAAAGCAACCACATTCATTTAGAAAATTTGAATAATCTTAGAAAGTTCGGCATTTTGTTTAATAGTAAGAGAATCATCACCCCATAGCATTAAATGTACATCTATAACATATAAATTATTAAATGACAGTAGCTTATTCATTAAGGAATTCCTTGCATTTGCATAATTTTTACAAGCAAAAACAGATGGTATGCATCTTCTAGTAGTCCAAATGAACAATTTAGACTAGTTATTAAGTTACAATGATATAAGTCAGAGTTTAAAATACAATGGTGTCTCAATCTTGTATGAATTATGTTCAAAAACCTTTTTCCATATGAAAAATATTTCTGATGTTTTACAATATTGTTGTGCAGACAGTTCTTTAATTTTTTAATAGAAGTTGCCTCCCTTGCATTAAGACTAAGGGAATTCCACTTTCTGACAGTATCAGGAATAAATGATTTGTTAAATAATTCTAGTCTGTATTTTGGCAAAGAATAGTTTAAGGAATTCCTAGTAGTATATCCTGAAATATTGCCTCTTGTGTCAGGTACTAAATTTTGTATATATAGAGGATATTCAATGTTTTGTAGATGAATATGGAATTTATTTCACGAGTGGGACAGGATTTTTTGATATTTTCACGAGTGCGAAGCACGAGTGAAAATATAAAAAAAAATCCTGTCTCACGAGTGAAATAAATTCCATATTCATCTACAAAACATTGAATTTTCTGTTTATTACATTTTCTTTGATTTTCCCTTTGCCTCTGTCTTTTCTTAACACAGTGTCATAGCTAGGCTTGACGTCATAGTTGAGCGGTTGAGACGTCATAGCTTAGCAGTTGTGAGATTGAAAGATAACATAGCATGGATTTTAGCATCATATTTGGGAAGAAAATTGCAGTTTTAGCTCTATCAAGATGTTTACTTGCAATCTCTATCTTATGACAGGCCAGAAATTATTTTTTACTTACTTTGATATCCTTTCACAATGTGAGAGAATATCATTTTGGTATTCTTTCACACTGTGAGAGAATATCACTTTTATTCAATAAATAAATCACAGTATTTCACTGTTGAAAATGTAATAAAACTAGGTACTAAATTATTGTGCATTTTATACATTGTTATTAGTTTTGCTATGTTTCTTCTGTATTCTAAAGGTTCCCAACCTGTTTCCAAATATAATGAATTTCTTGAAGCAATAATTGTTAGCCCAGTAACTATTCTTGCAGCAAATAACTGAACTTTTTTAAGATTTTCAATGTCTGCCTTTGTGCAGCCAGACCAAACTTCAACAGCATATTCAAGGAACTCCAGCTTTTACATGTCCCACAGAGGAAAAAAGATTTCTATACATGACTTGTTGTGTGCTATTGCTTAAATAACTATCAAACCAATCTAGCATATCACCATTGATTCCATTTTTAGTTTGTAAATTAAGCCTTTATGCCAGACTCTATCAAAAGCCTTGGATAAATCACAAAAAAACCATACAGCAGAATTTACCTTCATC